GAACCCTGGCCCCCTGCATTGGGAGCACAGAGTCTTAGCCGCTGGACCACCAGGGAAGTCCCCTCACAGGAATTCTTAATCATTATGATAAATGAACCATGTTTCAGAATAATTGGCTTCTCTTCTTTACTGCTGTGTCTTCTATTTGAAACACCATGTTGACACGCTGTTGACATGTAAACCCCCTAAAGGGGTTAACACCCGTTTAGGCTTTACGAGGAGACTGTGTCCCCCAAAATGCTTTTACTTTGGGCCTATTAGTTTTTGTAATGCACTCTTATCTCTACTGCTTCATTCATTATAAAAATTGTAGGCAGAGAAGTAAAATAGCAATGAGTGCTAAGATTTTATCATGTTTCTTGAAACTTAAAGCAGTGTAGCGATCTTCGCCTGGAGTTTATTGGACACGTAAGAATCTGAGTCTGCCCCATATACTCTGAATCAGAATCTGCACAGTCTGCATTTTAACAGGATCCTCAAGTGATAATACTGATCTGGTGCTCACCCCTAAATAAGTCAGCTGAAGGAACTCATTTACTTGGGAGATATTAAATGACACACCCGAAGTGATGCAGCTCGTTTGTGGGAAAGCTTGGGTGGAGCTTTTGCTCTCGTAATTTTGGTGCTTTAATTTCAAGTTAGCTTCTTTTGGCCTCTAAAAAGTTAGTAAACTATAGTTACTTAAGGATTAGTTTTCCTTTTTTCCATCCCACCAGTCTTTACCCCAGCTTTGCAGTTGGCTCCTCGTTGCCTGCTGATGGAAGGTGGAAGAAGAGCCTGCTGGTGCCCCGAGCCCGTGGCGGGCATGGACAGAGCCGGCTGGGCTGGAGGAGCGGGTCCCTTGCCTTCTCAGTCGGCCCTTGCGGTTTTTGTTTTAATTCAGCTTCATAAGAGTCATTATCAGGGGTCTAGGGACCAGTTGTTTAATCTTCCATACCAAATAATTCCAAGTATATGCTAAGTAAACCGAGGTCTAACACATTGAAGCATATTTGGTTCATTACAATCGAATCTAATAAGCCTGTTGCCTTGCGCATTTTTTAAATTTCTTTCCAGGGCAAAAGTTGGTGTTACAGCGTTAACTCATCACAAAGAGATTGTACTTCTATAACGTCAAAGTCTCTAAAGCCACCCTAATGGGAAGGTTAGAAAAGATGAGTGTTTCGTGATGTTAGTCAGCCTCCTGATGACTGAACGCTTGATTCTGACCCACTCCTTCCCATCCTCCGTCCCCAGCCGGGGTGTGGTGCACAGGTGACTGTCACCTTCACCGTGTCCGCCTACCCTCCGTGTGCTCTTCCCCTTTCCCTGATGAGGGCTTCATCAGCTCTTGCCTTGCTGACAGAATCAGCCTTTCAGGTGATGGTCTTGCCACAGTTCTCTTCCTGCTCCATTGTCTTATGCGTCATTTCATTATTTTCCAAAAGCACAGCTCTGGTCACCTCTACTTTATGTTAAAAATATCCAGTGCCTCCCTCCTCCCCCTGCCCCATCCTCATCTCAGTTCCCTCTTCTTGTGTTGTGCACGCTGGGTCCTGTTAGTCAGGAACTGTCTTTTCATCCTTCCAGTCCCTCAGAAAGAGTGACTCACGGAAGAGTGGAAACTCTCCGTGACTTACCTGCATCCCCGCCCCACCCCCAGTTTGTGTTCTATAAACGCCCTTCTGTTGGAGTTTATCAAGGAATAATGAGTGTTTTACCCCTGTCTTCATCTTCTCCAGCAGTGCACGCCCTTGAGAATCATTCTTCTTTGATTTCAAGGGAATATAAAAGTGAACAAGACAGACTTAAGAGTGTTAAGACACTTACCACCCCTTTGGGGGAGATAGTCAAATAATCTTCAGACAAGACTTGAGACTGTAGTGAGTGTCTTGGGCTAGAGACACATGGAAGTATGTGGTAGTGGTTTTAACTCAGTTTGGTTTTAGAGAATTGATCTGAGGTATAAAGAGTGAATGAGGCAGAGAAGGGTAAAAAAATCAAAATAAAGATTCTTAACTTGCTTTACATAGATGACTGTGACGACTGGGACAATATTTCTCCTAAAGCAGTAACAGAAGATTTAAGAAAGTATCGTTTAGAAGTGGGAAAGTGATATTGTGCAACTTTTGAGGTAATTTTCCAGCCTTAGTTTTCTGTGTGTATGTGGATCAGATTAGTTGGGATTGAAGTGAGTAGGTTAGGTTTGGATTAGATCAGGCGGGATTGGGGTGAATTACGGCTTCCCAGGTGGCTCAGACAGTGAAGAATCCACCTGCGATGCGGGAGACCTGGGTTCGATCTCTAAATTGGGAAGATCCCCTGAAGAGGGAAATGGCTACTCACTTCCGTATTCTTACCAGGAGAATCTCATAGACAAAAGAGCTTGGTGGGCTACAGCCCATGGGACCACAAAGTGTGGGACACAACTGAGCGACTAACACCTTAACTTTAGTAATTGGATGTGGATTAGATTAGGTGGGATTGTGGTTCTGTCGCTCAGCCATGCCCGACTGTTACAATGAAAGAATGATTAAATGGCCTAGTTACCTTAATACTAAGTAACTGCTAGGATCTTTGTGTATTTTAACCTCCAGAATTCTTACATGCAGTTTTAAGCGACAGCTTTATTGAGATTCAGTTCATAGATCGTAAAGTACAATTCACTGATTTTCAGTTTATCTCCAGAGTTGTGCATCCATCACCACTGTCAAATTACAGAACCTTCTGTCTCTACAGAGAGAGGCTCCATAGTCATTCTCCATTCCCTCTCCCCACTGAAAACCACTCATCTACTGTCCATGGATTTGCCTGCTCTGAACGTTTTATGAAAATGGAATTGTGAGATATCTGGCCTCTCACATCTCTGGTCTTTCACTTGTTCAGTTGCTCAGCCATGTCTGATTCTTTGCGACCCCATGGACTGCATCATGCCAGGCTTCCCTGTCCTTCACTGTCTCCGGGAATTTGCTCAAACTCATGTCTATGGAGTCAGTGATGCCATCCAACCATCTCATCCTCTGTCACCCCCTTCTCCTCCTGCCCTCAGTCTTTCCCAGCATCAGGGTCTCTTCCAGTGAGTCGACTCTTCACATCAGGGGGGCCAAAGTATTGGAGCTTTAACATCAGTCCTTCCAATGATTATTCAGGATTGATTTCCTTTAGGACTAATTAGTTTGATCTCCTTAGTGTCCAAGGGACTCTAAAGAGTCTTCTCCAGCACCCCAATTCAGTCTTTCATTTAACATATTGTTTTTCAAGGTTCATTTGAAGTGTAGCAGGTGTGAACATCTCATCATTATGGTGCGTGTTATTCCATTGTATGGATATGCCACGTTTTGTTTATCTGTTCACCAGCTGATAAACATTGGGTTCTTTCTACTTTTTGGCTGTTAGGAATAATGCTGCCATGAACTTTCAGGTACAGATTTTTGTATGGGCATTCATTTCCTTTGTATATACAACTAGGAGTGGCATTGCTGGGTGTTAACTCCATGTTTAATGTTTTGAGGAACTGCAAGACGGTTTCCTGAAGCATCTGCTGTTTGACAGGTTCTTTCAGCAATGTTTAAGGGCCCTATTTTCTCAACAGCCTCACCAAGATTTGTCATTGTCATATTTTTGGTTAACAGCCATCCTAGTATGTGTGCAGTATTTTTTCATTATGGTTTTGATAATGCACTTTCCTAATGACTAGTAATGTTGAGTATTTTGTCCAGGTGCTTCTTGGCCATTTTTAAATTTTTCTTTAAAGAAATGTCTATTCAGATCACTTGCCCATTTTTAAATTGGGTTGTCTTTTTTTCTTTTTTACTGTAGTTATAAGGTTTCTTTTTATATTCTAGATACAAATTTCTTACTGGATGTATGATTTGCAAATATTTTTTCCTAGTGTGTGGATTAGTTTTTCATCTCACGTGCATTTTAATTTCTTAAAAAACTTGATGTTAATTTTGGGTATCATTAACAATTGGTATTGTTCACTAGTTAAATTCCATTAAGTTTACAGTTCTTGTTTTAGAAAAGCTAACATGTGAACCAAAGTAGTTAATGAAGCATAAAAAATTGTAAATAAAGTTAATGAGAATAGCACATTCCTTAAGATGAAAAGATCAAAACCTAGTTTTAGATCTTCTGTTACCAACATCTTGTGTGACCACTTCTTCATTTGGGGCTAGCAAGTATACATGATAAAAGGTTTTGTTTTTTTCTGGTCAGTATAATCCTGAATTAAGCTATCCTCTTTGTTATAGCAGTGAATATCTACTTTAAATTAGGATAAAATTGACATGTAACATGTAAACTTAGGGCTTACAGGGTGTTGATTTTTGATACGTTATGTATTGCAATACAGTTACCACTGTTAGTTAGCTAATACTTTTATCACATCACATAAATATTTCTTGTGGAGATAATTAATGTCTAGTCTCTTAGCAATTTTAATTATCCTAATTTTAATTTAAAACTTGGTGATTTTTTAAGTGAAATTTTAAAGGTATGTGACTGATACATTACTGGATATTAATCATAATTTTGACATGTGAATAGAGCAAAAACCTTTTAAATATTCTTTTATTAGCAAAGGGTATGCTGTAGAAGTGTTTTCCCAGCTCAGCCACTCTGACCATCTGTTATTCTTTATGAAAAGAACTTGGGAGTAGGTGTTAACACCTGAACTGGAGAGATAACTACCCACAGTCTGGGCTCTGTGGGCTCTGAGCAACCTCTGTGAGAAGAAACTAGTCTAGCACCCCAGGAAGCTCTGTCTTCCAGGTTCTAGGGTCAGAGGAGCCGCTGTGGCCAAATCTTCCCTTACTCCCACGTAATGTGATGAACGGCTTTGTACATGTCATCTTTTTAAAGTTTAATGACTGAGATTAGTGTTTGCAGCTCAGATTTTCTAGTCTTCCTAGTAGATGACATGTAAGTGCATACCAGTCTATAACCAGAAGTCATAGTGTTTTTTATTTAGCATAATAAAAGTTGTACCCCTTTATGGTGTTCTTTTTTTCTCACTCTAGGCCTCAGGAGTGCAAGTTGCCGACGAAGTATGTCGCATTTTTTATGACATGAAAGTTCGGAAGTGCTCCACGCCAGAAGAAATCAAGAAAAGAAAGAAGGCTGTCATCTTCTGTCTCAGTGCAGACAAAAAGTGCATCATCGTGGAGGAAGGCAAAGAGATCTTGGTGGGAGATGTTGGTGTCACCATAACTGATCCTTTCAAGCATTTTGTGGGGATGCTTCCTGAAAAGGATTGTCGCTATGCTCTGTATGATGCAAGCTTTGAAACAAAGGAATCCAGAAAAGAGGAGTTGATGTTTTTCCTGTGGTAAGCATCGTTAAAAATATCAAGCTTCCATAAACTTAGAGTTAATCTCTTGTTGTCAGCTTAGCTCCTCTCCGGAGTCTTCAACATGCTGTGCCCAGAGCCAGCCCTCTCCCTGATTGATTTTGTACTTTTGAAACACATGCAGTTGTCATCTCCGATCATGATTTGTTCTTCGTCCACTCTCCAGGAGGGTAGCTGCTGGTCACTTGGGGCTATTGACGTGAAACAAAATCAGAAGTTCAACTTTAGTTTGAGTCGCCACATTTCAGATACCCAGTAGTCACATGTGATGAGTGGCCGCCTTGTTAGGCAGCAGTGAGACATAACATTCCCATCACTGCAGAGAGCTCTGGCAACAGTGCTGCTTTACACAGTGAGAAAGAACTATAAAGCCATTTACATGGCCTTTTTCTTGAAAGGCTGTTTAAATTATTCGGGTCTTTTCAAGTAAGTTCATACTTGAGATTAAGTTTGACTTGGAAGTCACCCTGATTTTAATCATATTACCATACATCCCATGATATGGAATTGCCATATAGTGAGAATCTTCTCCAGCTTCTAAGGGGGATGGGGCAGGTGGTAATGGCCTGTGATTTGGGGGCGGGGGTGGGGGTGGGCCATGTGGGTCCTCTGGATCCTTTGGCCTGAGCTGGGCAAGGCAAGCAGGGGTTTATCTCTTAGCTATATGCCAGGGAACTGGGAGAGCATTTTGGTTTCAAGGAATGTGACTAGGCCACCCCTAGCCCACTGCGGCCCTTGGCTGCACCTGGGGAAACAAAGATGCCATGGGGTCGCAGAGATGCCTTGGGGTCATCGTAGAGATGACATGAGGTCATATTGGGCTCTTACTGTGGAGCAGGCCTGGTAGCCACAGACACATGCTTAAAGATAATACTGAGTCTTAAAACCAAGCATGTTGAATGAAAGTGCATCTGTTAAACTCTTACTTCTGCTACATGCCAGGTGTTGTGTTAGGTCTGGGAAAGTAGCTGTGAAAAAAGCAGGGAGAGCCCTGGCCCCTCTGGAATTTACTCTGAGCCGCAGATACGGCAGGTAAAAGTTTAAGCTTTTAAATTGGTGACTATTTCCTTCATTTGCACTATTTTTATCCTGTTTTTTTATATCTTTTTTTCCCCATTAAGAAAATGATACATCCTTATTAAAGAACATTTGGAAAATAAAGGAATGAAGAAGAGAAAATTCCCATGTTAGTGCTGTGCTTTATTTTGCATTGTTACTTTTTAAAAGATAGAACTTTATTTTAGGAGTTACCTGTGAAAGGCTCTGTTTAGGGCCCAGGGAATGGCTCTTAAAGTATTTTAAAGGTCTGGTTAGAGTAAAATGAGAACAGCTAAATCTTTTTTTGTCCCTGACCTATTTTACATAAGAAAAGTACCCACTTAATTTTGTAGCTCGTGCATCTGATGTCCGTGTTATGGCTTTGCCACCCTCCTTGGACCTTAGAGTTGGGAGGAATGCACATCTTGTTCCCAAGAATAGACTTCGCCTGCTGTTAGCAGGCAGCAGACTAGGTGAAGGCCACACAGGTCCATGGTGTTCATGACTGTTGATGTCCTGGAAATGTGGCCACTAAATGGAGTTGTTAAGTGCTTAAAAGTATTTAACTACACTCCTTTTACTGTTTGGTGTCGTCGTGTGGAGTGCAGGCGGGCCTGAGGTTCGATGGTGCGGTGAGAAATATGCATGTGTGGATGTGCAGTTTGAGTAGATGAGATTTTTCTGTGCATTGTTAATATATCAGTTACTTTTCAGTATTGCTGCTAAAGATTGTGGTAAAGCGTATGCCGTATTTTTTCAAGAAGGGCAAGCACTGAAAAGTTTGTGAATATAACATAATAGTAAGGCATTAACAAGGCATCATTATCGCTGAACTTCCATTAAGCTTAGAAAAAGAAATCTTTGTGCTGTGTTTTGTGACGCTAGACTGAGATGGAAAACAGGCGCACACGGTCAGAATTTGCTGCTGGAGTGGGCCTGGGTGTGAGACCGGCTCTGAGGGCAGTGCGGGGCTTGGACTTCGCTTATGTTCTTCTCCTGAAAACAACCTGAAGCAAAAACTGGGAGCATTTCTTAATTCTAGATGGCAGACACTTGATTTACAGATTATTCTCTATACTCTTGTATTTTGAAAGTTTTTCCCACCAGAAATTATTATAAAACCTCTCATGAAGATGGTGGTTATTAGCCTGAACTCAGTCCTTTATTGATACAAATGATAGAAAGTTATTTTCAAGAAGATAATTGATAGTACAGTGCGTTATCCAGTGTTGTTTATCTTCGCCCATTAACTGAATCTGGTTGTCGGTCCGTGACGTTTTCCCTTGGACACACAAGTTGCTCTATGCATGCGCGTCCAGCACAGTCTAGGAGGAGTGGAACTATAAAGCTATGCAGCTAGAAGAGTTCTCCAGAGGGCTGAGGGCCCTCCCTCATCTGATGCAGATGTGCAACACGATGTCAGTTGTGCTTTCTCTAAACTGGTTTTCTTCTTTTTGGGCCCCCTCTCCTCTCCAGGGCACCAGAACTAGCTCCTCTGAAGAGTAAAATGATCTACGCAAGCTCCAAGGATGCCATCAAAAAGAAGTTCCAAGGTAAGGTCTAGCCTCCACCAGGTGTCAGGGGTGTGGCAAGCCAAGGAGTGGGGCTTCGTTTCAGAGCAGCGCCTCGTCGTCTTGGCAAACTTCCACACAGAGCGAAGGGCACTGCTTGTTCTGAGGAGCCTCGTCTCCTTGGCAAACCACACAGAGCGAAGGGCACTGCTTGTTCTGAGGAAACCCGGAGGCAGAGCCGGCTCTCAGCATGTCTCTGCCTCCTGCAGGCCCCTGGGCCGGGAGGCCTGTACCTGATACTCTGCCCTCTCAACATTGCGTGTGTGTGTGTGTGTGGCTTGTTCAGTCTGGTTTGAAACTAGTTTCAGACTCTGTCAAGTTTCTCTCAGGGCCGGTGGAGACAAATTGGTTTCCATCGGTCATAGTAAGTGATAAATCTGCTGTTGCCTCTGAACGTAGCCAAGTAGCAAAAAGGACTTGTTCATAAATGTGAAGGGATGCTCTTATTGCTGGCTTTTCTTTGGAATGGTATGATTTTTAGGTTATTGACTCACCTGTGTCCAAAGGAGAATGGCCTCAGTCCTCAGACTGGCCAGGGCTGGCCTGTTATATGTGACTTGCTGCTAGGTCACGGGGATCCTGAGAAGATGGCCTGGACCTACTTACTATCTCCAGCCAGGAGAAGATGCTGGTATGATGGACAGAGCATGGGGCCAGTGCCCGTTACCCACTGAGGGCTAAGCTTGTCGTCTAACTGCTGTGTGGCTCGGCCCAGACCGCATAACCTCTGTGGGCCTGGGTCCTCCCAGCTGAGAGTGGGAAGGCACTCACCTTCCTGCTGTGACTGGCTCCAAACTGCTGGGAGAGCCAAGGTCACAAGGGCTTGGCCCAGGGTCATGTTCATTTGGTTTCACTGTGACTGGTTTTATATTCTTGCAGTAGAGCAGATTTGCCTTAGCTTGTTTTACGTGGAAAAACAAAATTCTCACTTCCTTCCCTGAAACCTGGTGCTGCCTCATTGTGTCCCTGCCCAGCTCTGCATGTGCTTGTTTGGTGTGGGGTGTGTCCCAGCTCCATGTTGCCCTCCCAGAGAGGAGCTGCTCCGTGGACACGCTCTGGTGACACGTGAGGCATCCCCCTCCTGCCCTTCTCCCCTTCTCCCCTTCTCCCCAGCGAAAGCATCGCTGGCTTTCTCCCAGTGGTCCCGCGTGGTCTAGAATCTGCCCCACTGTGCTTCCAGCAGCTCAAGAAACGCTCTCAAAATTATGGAAAACCTGAAAACAAGGCAGCTTTTCAGAAGCGAGCAGCCATTTCCAGAGCCTCTGCTGTACACGCCTGCATCACGGGACTCCTTGTGCCGTTGCTGTCCTCCTGAGAGGGCCGTCACTAGGCCGTCTCAGAGCTGCCCGGACGTGGGGTGTGGAGCCACCGGTGGGAGGGCTGCTTTCTGGGCAGAATGATCCCCTTTGTGCCTTACTCCTGAGTCCAGCCGACTGAATCACAGTATCGAATTCGTGTATTTACGTAATTTCAAAAACCAAGAAAAAGGATCCCTGCTCCTGCTTTTTAACTTTTTTGTTGACAACAGCGTACCTGTAGAAAGTGTACGTGAAGCATGGTTGTTTCCTGATCTGATGACCAGCACCTGAGCCTCACTGCTGCCCCTTCCCTTCTCCCTGCCAGGGACACAAGCCCCCTACTCCTAACAGTGTAGAGTAATTCTGGCTGATTTTGTTATGTGAGTGGAAGCATCTAGAATGTGCGCTACTAGGTCTGGCCTCTTTGTCAGCACTAGTTCGTACGAGTCTCTCTCGTCGGTGCCCGTGGTTTCAGATGACTCATCACCGTGTACTCATCCGCGGTTTGCTCTGCCACAGCTGTCCCACCCCTGTTTGAACCGGCCTTTTAAAATGGTTTTCTATGTTAAATAGGTAACTCCTGCCATAACTAAACATAATTGTTGTCTTTCCTCCCTAGGCATAAAACACGAATGTCAAGCAAATGGGCCAGAAGACCTCAATCGGGCTTGTATTGCTGAAAAGCTAGGTGGATCCCTAATTGTAGCTTTTGAAGGATGCCCCGTGTAGACCATCATCTGGTGCCACAAATCGAAAGCTTCCGTGTTTAATGTTATCCTCTTGCTATGTATAAGTAAAGCAGACAATGTTTAGGCTAGGGACTCACTGAAGGGGAGCTGTCTTGTCATTTGTGGGGGTAAACTATTCTATGAACATGTGCAAATGGCCCTAAATAAATCTACACTCTAAAACTTTATTGGTGTGAAATTAACTTCTTACTGGCCAAGTGCCTGTTTGGATGAGTTGGTTTGTTATAAAAATTTTTGTTAAAGCTCATGATTTTTAATATTTAATAGTGCAGTTCACAAACCAGTAGAAGGCTGTATGAAGAGAATTACTGCATCTTTGTTAACCTCAGCAGTTATTTACTTTCTTTTTTGCTTAGAGATTTGGTCATAATCTGGTGGTAATTTTGGCCCAAATTTCTTTATTCTGTTGAGCTAAACTGAATAATGGAAAATAGTTCTACTCACAACATGTAACAGCACTAAAGTACTAACTTGGTGATTCTACTGGATGTGTGGTGGAGACTGCCTTGAAAAGTGTAGGCTTCGAACCAGTGCTGACCTTACAGAGCACTGTCACAGCCCATTGTTGGCAGAGGAAGCTGCTTCCACACCTAGGGCCGCGTCCTCACAGGTCTGGTCAGGAGGCTGTTCTGAGAGTAGCCTTTCACCCTGGAAATCAGGAGAATGTGCACTGTCTTATAACAGCGAATTGTAAAGTAGATCTGGGCTCTAGCATAACCCACTTTGTTAATGAAAACGGTGAGGGAGGTGTATTGACAGACTGTGACTCCATGTTGTCTTTAACTAATTGTGTCTCCTTCAGAACTTTGTTGCTTCTAGTATAATGAAGTATGAAAGAATGTTACTTTTACTCTAGGGCCTGGGAGAACATCTTCCTCTCCTAGAGTAGCTTGCAACTGTACATGCAGTGGGGAGAAGGTATGATGGGCAACACGGGAAGCCACGCTGAGCACCCCGGAAGTGACTGTCCTTCACATCACAGGCATAACACTGAACAACCTAGAGATGCACAAACAGTGGAATTTTAGAAGTAGCAGTACTGGCTTTATGTAATAAAGGAAGCATTTTTAACTTCTCTCCTGTGTAATTATTCATGCGTGACTTGGGAATAAAGGATTTTGCCTTCCACATGTATGGTTATGTGTGGAGGTTTGGCTATTTCAGACAATTACAGTTAAGATCACAGCTCCCTCCTCCTCTGATTGAATGAAAAGGTTGGTATATATTTGGAAGTCGTTCTCTTATTCCAAATGTTTATCTAAATGCCAGGCTATTATCTCCTCTCTCGTTTGGGAGCCAAAAAAGGTTATGCTTTGATCAAAATACTTCTTTCCAGATTATCTAGAAAACAGTGCTGGCTACTGGTTACATACAGGCTGCTTGTCATTCTTTCATCCTGAATTTCTCTACTGCAAAGCAGTGTTCTCAGTGACTGTATTGACAGATGCCTGAGAAGCACTGCAGGCCCCAGATGGCTCTGGTGAAGAATCAGCCTTGTAGGCAGAGCCAGTAGGTTCAGGAGGAGACAGTCTTCTCTGTGGTTTCACCTTGTGACATGTGGAGCTCCTTGTATGAGCACCTGCCTCCCTGCAGGTATGTGTGTGGGGTGCTATCGGGAAGGTTTTGAGCAGTGCCCAGGGGGTGTGACATGTAAATAGCTCCCGGCACTCAGCTCCAGAAATTGGGAAATGCTAATGGTCACTTATCTGCCAGGGAGCTTCTGGATTCCTGAGGTTGGGGCCCTAGACTCTCCCTCACCAGCACTACAGGTAACTGTTGCAAAATGAGCATCTTAGACCTCAGCTGACCCTGGTGAGGAATAAAACTGCAGGAATTCTCTGCTTCCAGCACATTTACTTTTACAGGTGTTCACACATTGCAGAAGAGTGGGTGGATAGCTGACTCAGGGTTCATTGAATGACTGCTCTTCTGCCCCGAGGAAGCAGCAGCAGATACCACCACTGCTAACAGACATTTAGTGCTGGGCTATGAAGTTATTCTGAGAATATTAATCTCAGAGAAAACCATGTGACTCAGTGGAAAACACGGTAACTCAGGTGGAAAGACAGGGCTTGGTCAAGTGGGTTCCTTTCCTAGAGTCCCTCACCGCTCAAGAGTATGGCTGGTCCATGCGCACATGTGTGGCTTCTGCTCTTTACCAGCTTGTCCTTGAGCTCTCAGAGCCTGGATGCACCTGAGGACAGACATGTTGATTTGTCATGATTTGGGGTATTTTCAAAACGTGGAAGCCATCTCCAGACCAAGTTCCAGCTGGGCTGGGGCTGGAAGAAGGGTCACTACATGGGTGGGGAGGGGCATTGGAAGGGGACTTAAACTGAGCCAGTGCCTCAGCCAGTCCAGGGAGGTAAAGTAACTTGTCCAAGGCCACGCAGCACTCGGGTCTCTCTTTTTCTTCTTCGCCTAATCTATTCTCATCACACCCCTGATGAGTTATTTATTTGTAAAATCTGGAATTCCGAGTTAGATTTTGTTCCGTTTGAGGCGGGAAGGAAAACAACTCTTCCTTTGGGCTCTGTTTGAGTCCCGTTAGGCATTTGTGGAGAGTGTCTGGTGGTTTCACTGCCCGAAAGCCAGGCATCCCAGGGGTTGTGCATTATTGACCCCCCCACACAGGTGACCAGAGGTAGTCCAAAAAGCTGTATTGGGGCTTCCAGATCTAGAGGGGCTGCTAATGGGCTGCGAGACACTGAACTTCAGGTCAGCCCCGGGAGCCTCTGAACTCGGATGTTTTCGGAGCTCCCAGCTCTTCTGTCACCTGGGGTCTGAGGTAGGTGGCTGCCTCTCCAAGCCGCGCCCCCCCAACCCCCATCTTCCCGAGCCTGAGGGTGGCCCTGGCCCCTGGACAGCAAGGTCCGCAGGCTCCCCCTGCTGGCCGGCAGCTGTCACTGCCAGGCCTCTGGCTGCTGGGCCAGTGGTTGGCAGGTGTGGAGGCCCTCACCTGCCCATCCCCAGACGTGGATGCCAGAGCCCTCCAGGTGGCCTGAGGGTGGAGCCCACAGGTTTAGCTCAGCACCCCCAGGGTCTTTCGAGCCTTCCTTCCCCAGAGGTGACCCCGTTCCTTTGCCTTCAAGGGGCTTCTGCCCAGCCTAAGTTTAGTCACTCAGTCATGTCCAGCTCTTTGCGATTCCACAGACTGTATGTAGCCCGCCAGGCTCCTCTGTCCGTGGGATTCTCCAGGCAAGAATACTGGAGTGGGTTGCCATTCCCTTCTCCAGGGGATTTTCCCGATCCAGGGATCGAACCCAAGTCTCCCGTTGCAGGCAGAATCTTTGCCATCTGAGCCACCAGGGAAGCCCTGCCTGAGGGTTCCCAGCTTTTCAGCCGCGTGGTGGGGGCGGGGGGGCAGCTTAGTGGAAACGCAGACTATGGCCGCCACCGTGATGCAGGAGACGTGGTTCAGGGCACAAGGCTGGCTGTTCACCAGAAAATGACCCTGAACCACTGCCCTCGGGTGAAGGTTCCTGTGTGTGGATAAGTCGTGAGCCCTGCCCCGAGTTGGGGGCTCACAGGGGTGTGGGGTGAGGGGCTGCTGATCACGGCTTCCACAGTCACAAGCCTCCCTTCCAGCCAAGGCAAGGCCCCAGGCCTCCAGACTTCAGCAGGTATTAGAGGCAGCCAGAAGCCCTCCCTGCCTTTCACCAGCGGGCCACTCCCACTTCCTGGGGATTCTTTGCAGGATGGGGGAGGTGCCCCTTCCACGGGCACTTGAGATGTCACATGAGAACCGAGCCTGTGGCCTGACAGGCATCATCAGTCACTTCTTCCCGCTGAGGCTTCTGGCCAGGACCCATGGCCTCTGTCCCCTGGCCCCTGGGCTTCCTTTCTCCACTTAAGCCGCCTGCAGGGGTCTGGAACAGGTAGGTCTCATCTCCCCTCCTGGGAAACCTCAGTGGCTCCAATGCCCTGCCCGTCCAGACCCCTTACCTTCATGACCTAGCTCTACGGGGCCCTCTCACCCACCCTCCTGGCCCTTCATCCCGTTTCTCTGCACCCCTGTACCCTTGGCCCTGACCCCTCCTACCTCCTGGCAAATTCCAGGTCCTGCTCTTGTCTCTGGGGAACCATCACAGAATTTCCAGCATCATGATCCTAACACAGTCACCACACGTAAGTGCTACTTAGCAGTTAGGTGGCGCACAGACCAAGTGCCCCCTGCAAGCCAGCACCCGGTTTTGGTCATGCAGCCTGAGGTCAGCACTGCCCAGCCCCTGGCCACTACTTGTGTATGCGGCCAAAGGCAGCTAGAGGAACCTTCCCTCCCCGAGGTCTTGAGGTGCTGGTGACAACCACCCTGGAGGGGAGTCAAACCCAGCCTGCAGGTATGGGATGCCGAGGCTCTCAGGCAGGGATGAGACACCCCTCCCTCCCATCTGGGTGCACCTGCTGTCCAGGTGCTTGTCTTTCCTCAGTCACACTCAGCCCATCAGGCCCCTCTCCTAGGCTTCAGAGTCTTAGGACTGAGCTGGAAGTACCACCAAGACCCCTGGGGGATGCTTCAGTCCACCTTCTGTTCCTGGGTTGATGTGACCACTCCCGTGACCCTGCCTCTAAATCCACTTTTGGTTTAAGCTCCAGATTCCTTACGAAGCCCCCAACTCACCTCTTGACCAAAGACTTAGATCCCCGAAAACATGAGGGTCCGAGGACCATGGCAAGTTAAGCTGGCTGCTCTGTCTCCACCCCTCCTGAGCAGTGGATGTTTGCCCAAGTCCGGCCAGAAGGACAGAGTCCCTTGTTCATCCCTGGAACTCACTTCACACCACAGCCTGGGCCATCCACAGCCCTGCTCCTCACGGTGTATCCATCAGGCCACCGGGTATCTCAGGCCCTGCTCCCTCACCCTGCCCAGCGGGCACTGGGGGACCAGAAACCACACTCATTTTCTCCCAGAAGGAGCCCCCAAGGAAGATGGGATGAGACCGGAGTGCCGGGCGACACGCGGGTTTTAATGGCATTAACACCCAGGAGTCACGCGTCGGTTCTGGGGGGCAGCATCTTCCGGGGACTGGGGCTGCTGCCTGCCTCGCTGGCTGTGACCTTCCAGTCTGCTCCGCAGCATTAGGGACTCAACACCAGAACCACCCGACCCCCAACCCCGTGAAAGACACAATTGCACTGATTGACATACAGACCCCGGGCCCGCCTCCCAGAACAAGCCCTGGGTCTGTCGCACGGCTGACGAGGGCTTTGGCGTCTGCTGGCTGGTGGTCCAGGGCCGGTCCAGGGCCAGGCCAGGGCGATAGTGTTTCTCGAATGTGACAAAGGTTCTTCTTGTACAAACTGGGTCTGGAAGATCTACTTCTGGTGCTAAGAAACTCTTGTCTTTATGGCTTCTCAGAGCTACCGAAGTTGGGCCCGGATAACGCTGTGTCGGTTGGTTTATTTTTAAGGAATGTGTAAGGCATTTTGGTAAGTTGAACAGTAACTTCTTTTTCTGCAGGAGACTCAGACAGAAGTGCCTTCCTTTGAGCTGCCGTCCTCCTGTGGACAGAGAGTGAAGAGGAGAGGCTGGCCTGGGGTGCGTACTCACCCCCGGCTCCTAACCCACCCTAACTGTGGCCTGCAGCCCAACACCAGAGCAGCCAGGGCTGAAGGAGACACCGAGGGCTTGGCAGGGGCCCGAGGGCAGCTTTCAGGAATCTCTGTTCTCACCCCTCCAGCCCCTGAGTCCACGTCTCCTCCTTGCTGGCCTTCCCCAGGGTCCTGGGCACCCCCACCCCCTGCCCCACCGGGTCGGCGCTCACTGGTCTGTCCAGCCGCTCCTGCAGCTTCTGCACTGTGTCCTTCTCCTTTGCCAGCTGCTCCTGGGTCGTCTTCAGAAGCTCTTGCAGCTTGGTGGCCGCACGTCCCAGGTCACCCGTTAACTTCTTCTCTTTCTCTAGCCTCTCCTGCGATCGGAGGGTTGAAGAGGCTCAGCCCGCACATGACACGCAACAGGACGGCCCCCTGGCTGTGCCCGTGGGGCCACACCAGGCCCAGGAAGACATGGCCTCCTGGCCATGATCAGGAGCATTTCTACAGGGCTGTTCGAAGCTGTAGCCCCTGGGGTCACATGCTGGCTGCTGAGCACTGGTCTTAAGTTCTACTTGATCCAGTTGTCTGTGATACTGGAGACTCAGGAATACTCCCCCACCTCACCCACCCCTAGACTGGACTGTGCTCAGAGGGCCTCCTGGGATGACGACCGGGAGCCCAGGGTGATGGCGCCCCAGTACCTTCAGCTGCGTGGCCTCCTCCGCCTCCGAAGACCCAAAGGCACTGGTGCAACGGAGCTTCTCTAACTCCGCCTGCAGCTGACTTGCCGCCAGCTGAGCCTGGGGGGTGGGGGGTGGCGTCAGGACCCATACAGAAGGAGAGTGACAGGGCGTAATGACAGTCCCCCAGGTGGGGTGTGGCTGGCCCAGCCCTGCCACCCTGACCCACAAGGGCCCTGACGGGCAACTATCAGCTGAACAGCACCCTGACCTCCTCAAACTCGGCCGTGAGCTTCTGCCGCCGCGCCTGCTCATCCCCCAGCAGGGCTTCTGTCCGCTCCAGCTGCATCTTCAGCTGCGGGCAAAACATTTGGAATCTGGGGCAGGCGGGACCCTCCCGGGCACCCAGGGCCCCCCGACCCTGCCCTGCCACGGACACGCGGGATGGCCTGGGCCCTCCAGCTGGTCTCCCCTGGGGGAGATGGGGCCCAGCTGCTGGGGAAGGGAGCTGGGTGATGGGGGAGAGATGCTGATGGGATGTGGGGTCCTCTAGTGAGACCCCAGGACAGAGGAGCCTCAGCCCCGTGCGAGCCCTGGCCCAGGAGGCCATCCACCCTGAGGCCGCCACCACTGTAGTGAGGCTGTTGACAGCCGACTGGATCAGGGGTCCGGAGGGCAAGTGCCCCACCAGACACCCCAGCCCTCACCCTTCCTTCCACTCTGCGTCTCCTCAGAAGCGGGGTGTCTGGGCAGAGCGGGGCTGGGGTTCAGTGGGAGTCGGGGCTGCTGTCCCTGCCCTGCCCTGGGTGGAGGAGCCCGCGCAGCGTCAGTGACCAGCACCCAGCTCGCCCCCCTAACCTCGGTGGGGTCCTGCTCTGCTCGGGGGGCCTCGGCCACGTCACCGTCCTCCACGTGGCTCTTCATCTTGCTCAGCTGCTGTCTGACCTGGAACAGGGAGGCTGGGTCTGTGCTGAGGCACGGCTGGATGCACGCAGCCCCCCAGGAGGACCACAGGCACTCTCGGCAGCCACGGCCCCTCGGGGGACCTGCTCTGATGAGCGTGGCCTGTGTGGGCTCCCCTGCAGGTTCTTGGGGGGCAGGAGGCCAGCACCGAGACCCCTCACCCAAGTCAAACTGCAGCTGAGGGACCCCCGAGGGGCCCAGACTGGCCTTGTGCACACACTCCACTCACTGCAAGGCCAGTGGCATGGAGCCCAGTGACTCCTGAGGGATGTGGTACATGCGGGACTGAGGGGCGCAAAGCAAGGGAGGGGACCTCCCGGGCCTGGGCCACACCGTGATCCCAGCAGCCATAGGCCTAGGGTCGAGCAAACGTGCCAACAGCCGACCCACGTCCCCTCTGACTGGGTGTGGGAACATGCATACCCAGCCCCCACAGCGCAAGTGGTCACACCATGTCCACTCACCAGGGCGAGCTCGTCGCTTTGTTTCTGGGCTTCGCTTTTGGCCGCATCTAGCTGAGACTGAGATTCTAATAAGAGCTGCCTCAACTGAGAAAACGTAGCCAGGTGGTGGGAGAAAAGAAGAGAGGACCAGTTCTTGTGAGCACCTCTCAGGGAACCCAATACATGCAGGCACCCGCCCCGGGAACCTGCAGGGGAGGGCAGGGGGAGGCAGCCTCCGGCAGCTTCTGCTCTTTTTAAGACTCAGGAAGCATGGCATTTGGGAAATGGCTTCTCCCAAGCCTTCATGAGTGTTTATGGAGTGTCTTTTACAAAGCACTCCGTGGGCTTCCCTGGTGGCTCAAAGGGTAAAGCGTCGGTCTGCAATGCAGGAGACCTGGGTTTGATCCCTGGGTCAGGAAGATTCCCTGGGGAAGGAAATGGCAACCCACTCCAGTACTCTTGCCTGGAAAATCCCATGGACAGAGAAGCCTGGTAGACTACAGTCCATGGGATTGCAAAGAGTCAGACACGACTGAGCAACTTCACTTTAGAAAGTGAGGGCAGATCACACCAGAATCGGGGTGCTAAGCTTGTCCTCTCTGCTGCCTAAACATGAAGCCCTGTCACGTTTAAATGCCTGTCCACGAGGATGGTGTCACCAGCCAGGTGGAGGAATTCCCATGCTGCCAGGCTGGCCGGCCTCACCCCGCCCTGCCTGCAGGGCTGCCGGGAACGGGACTCACCCCCGCCACCTCCTGGGCGTAGTTCTGGCACTCCGCGCTGGCGGCCGCCATGTGCTTCTCCAGCTCGGCCTCCAGGTGCCAGGTGTGCTCCCTCACCTGGACAGGACATGCGTCAGAGGCCACAAATGGATGGGATGAGATAGGGATGGCCACAGGGACCAAGGCTGGCCGGCCCGGGGACAGGGGCTGAGAGGTGGTCTCTGCAGCCCGATGGTTCCAGGAGGTGCCCGGGGCCAGACTCCTGAAGTGGCGCTGTATGCAGGCACCCCGAGATAGGACGAGCTTTCAGGCCTCGAGATTTATTTGCAAGGTGGGTGCTGGGGGACCTGCTCCAAGGCCAGGGTGCATGGACAAGCGTGGGGGGGCCATCCTGCACCCTCCTCCCACGGTTCCTGAGGCCACGGCAGAAGCCACAGTGCACCAGGCCGGGCATGCTGCCTCCGGCCACCCCGAGGTCGCAACCGCTCATTAAGGAAAAGCAGGGACACATGGACCAGAAAAGAAAACGACCACAGGAGCCTCCATAAGAGGATGGCGCTCTCTGCCCAGAGCCCCCACGTACCTGGTCGGAACTTTCAAGTTCCCCTTTGAGCTTCTCGACAACCTCTTCGAGATGTTTCACGGTAACCCGCGACTACAAAGCATGAGAAAGGGGCCGTCAAGCACGAGCCCTGGCGGATCTGACCGGGGACATGCCGCCGCGGTTCCTCGCAGCTGTCCTGGGACCCACCCCAGGAAGCCCATGGTGCCCCTGCCCCCCGAAGAGTGACCAGCCCCTCTTTCTGGGGATGGGGTTTCCTGGAGACCAGGACTCAGCTGTTGAGTCTTTCTGCAACCACACTTCATGTGGCATCACCAAAACCTGACCTCCCCAAGTGACCCAGATAACCCTGTGGCCATCCCCCCGGGATTGATGGCATTTTGCCCTGGCAGCCTGGCTCGGGCAGGCGGACCCTGGGTGCCTCGGGCAACGTACCTCCCGGAGCTCCTCCTCCGCGGTGCTCACCCGGGCCTTCCACACCTGTTCCTCCTCCTCTACACTCTTCTGCAGTGCCTTGAGCATGGCCTCCTGTGGAAGCAGCTGTGAGCATGGTCTGTGGACCCCACAAACACCTCCCGGCTCCCTCCCTACCCCAGTGGCCACCCTGTTCAGATCCGAGCCTGGCGGGCCACGCCGTGGGGAAGGGGTGGCCCTGGAGTGGGGGCCCTCAGCCAGTGTGCAGAAGACAAGGCCGTCGGGACTCTCATCTCTGATGGGTCTGTAGCAGAACAGGGTGGCCCCAAGGCAAGGGCTGGGTTCCTGGTGTCACAGGAGAACCAACTGCTCCCCTCCCGCCTCGGACTTGCTGCAGACCTTTGCCCTGAGCACCCCTCTTCGCCATTCAGTCACAGGAACAGTGCCCAGAGGGGAGCCGTGCCCACCCGAGGTCACAGAGACAGGGACCCGATCGGGCCCCCCAACCGCTAGGCATCCCTGCCGGGACTCACCGTCTCGGCCAGGATGCTGCGGTACTGGTCGCACTCAGCCTGCAGGCCGCTCTGCGTCTCCTCTGCCTCTCTCAGCTTGGCAGCCAGGTCCTGAGGGTGGAGGCAGAACAGGGGGCGGGGGGTTGCTGGTGAGCCAAAGCCTGACGACTGGCTCCGGGCACCCCCAGGGGGACAGGGCAGAATGTGAGGCTGGACGGCTGTCCATGCTCACCGAGGGCTCCGGGCTCGTGTGCGGCCGCTTCAGTAGCTCCAGACAGGCATTCTCTTTGAGCTCCTGCAACCACTCGGCGTAACTCTGCAACAGAAATGTTTTGCAGTTGGACAGGATGCACCCCTCCATGGGCGGGGGACCCAGAGGAGCCACCGTGCCTCCTACCTGGTGGGTGGGGGTGGGGAGCCCCGGGAGCAGGGCCAGCAGGGCCTCCTTGGTCTGGGCCTCCGTCAGGCTGAGTTGCTTCTCCGACTCCTCCTGTGGGGGGTCCGGGTAGGGGGTGCGATGGTCAGCCCGGGCGCTCAGGGGGACCGTTCAGACAAGACGGCAGGGCAGAAGAGCAACACGAACAAAATCCATGCAAACAGACCAAGCTTGGGGACCCCGTGGCCTCGGAGGGCCAGGCCCAGCTGAGAAGCAGCACACAGGGCTCACTGCTCCCCGCTTCTCCGGGGGAAACAGGCGGGAGGGCGGGCAGAGGGCACAAGAAGAGGCAGGGCTGGGCCCCGGGTGGGCTTCGGAGCTGCTCTGAGCCTAGGGCTGCCCTGCACGCGGCTTCAAGCTCTGCTGACCAGCTTGATTGAGGCCAGCCCGGAGCCCACTCTGACCTTGGCCTGGGTCAGGGACCGCAGCTTCTCCTCGCAGCTCTTCTCGGCCGAGGCCAGAGCCTCCATGGCCTTCCAGTTCTTCTCTCGGAGGTCCTGGGAGGAGAGGGGCATGGTCAACAGCCAGCCCAGTCTCTGCAGGGCAGGCAAACCTCCCTGACCCGCCTCCAGACCCCACAGGGCATGCTGGGCAGCACTGGCACCAGACGGCTTGGGGTGACCTGGTGCCTTTTATGGAGACTCGTCTGTGGGGCTGGGGGCAGGGAGAGGAGGGCAGTTACTGGCTCCTACCAGGAGGCCAACTCTTGCCCAGCCAGGCCTCGGGAGGCGCAGGCAGAGGCTCTGGGAGATAGCCTGGGCTGGGGATGAGGCCTAGGCCCCTGCAGGCGTGCCCTGTCCACACAGCAGGCGCCCCCCACCCTGCCCGGCACTCACATTGTTCTTCGCCTTCTGCTGCTCCACCGCCTCCCTGAGCTCCGTGGCCTCCTTCTCCAGGCACCACACCTGTGACTCCAGCTCCATGAGGCTGGGGACAGACAGCAGGTCACTGTCTGGCTCTGAAGGCATGCAGCCGCCATAGGGCCTGTCTCAGGGCCCCTCCTTGTCCCAGGAGCCCAGGAGCACACACGGGGCCTGGGACGGGGGTCAGGCCCCCCCCCGTCACAAGGCACAGGCTTCAGGGGAGCCTGAGCAACCGCCTAGGCCCCTTCCCCGAGAGCTGAGGGCCCAGAGGCCACCAGAGTCCCACTTGGGGACATAGCTGCTTAGACAGGAGAGGTCAGAGCAGCCGCCTGGCCAGTGCCAGTATAGGCCCTGGACCGTCGCTTTTTGGGGTGCTCTTTCTTCTGCTAAGGGCTTCCCTGATAGCTCAGTTGGTAAAGAATCCATCTGCAATTCAGGACACCCCAGTTCTATTCCTGGGCCGGGAAGATCCCCTGGAGAAGGGAAAGGCTACCCACTCCAGTATTATGGCCTGAAGAATTTCATGGACTGTATAGGCCAAGATGACGCAGAGTTGTACACGACTGAATGACTTCACTTCACTTCTGCTGCCTGGTCCCATTCTGTCCCACAGCCCGTGGCCCTGGCTCTTCCCTGAGGCCACAGCTGCCCTCAAGAGATGCAGCTGGGCCTCCTCGGCGGACACCAGGCAGCACCGCTGCCCGCAGTCCGTCAGGAACATTCCCCCTCTTGGCGGTGCCTGGCAGGCCCTGGCTCCCTGCCACAACCACCGTGCATCCAAAACCTGGCTCTGCTGGGACCCGAAGGTGCCCCCTCAGTCCTGCACCCGGGCTCTGAGACGTTGGCCCGAGAAGACCCCAGACACCAGGGGAGCTGGCAGGACAGGGGCCCCGCTGCCTCACGCTTCTGTCCAGACTCAAGGCCGCGTGGTTCTGTCCGCCCCTGTCACCCAGATAGCTCGGGGTGGACACTCTAGAATGTCTCTTGCTGTCCTGAGAAAGAGGCTGCAAAAGGACACTTTAACATGTCATCTTCTGAGTCTCGATTTAGAACAGGACAGGAAGCCACTAGCACTGACCTGAGCCAGGGCTGCTCTGGGGTCAGGAAGGAAGTCCCTCTGAGGACGCCCCCGGTGGGAACACGAGTTCTGATTTTCTCACCAGGGGCCATAGTGAACTGCTTTTTGAGGACCACCACCCTAAGGAAGTGTGTGAAGACTCAACACCCTCGGGGAGGGCTGTGTGCTGCCTGCCCTGACCCTCACCTTCATTCGAAGTACAGTTTGCACCCGGCCTTGAAGATGGCTGTTGTGGACTTCTAAGATGCTAGTTTCAGGCCACAGAACATGATCCTACCCTCAAAGCACCACTGGGACCCCTCACAGTTTCTCCATCAAGCCACTGGCATTCTGCAGCAGCCAGCCCCCTGCAAATCCCTGCAAGAGCACCCCCAAGGAAGAAGACACAGTCGGCGGGTGACGAGAACACACTGAGAGTCACCCCCTTTGGTGGCCACTGCCCGAGGTACGCTCCAGAATGTATGGGGTTGGATCACTCACCTCCAGCCCAGATAGGATGGCCTGGCCTAGGCCTAGTCACAACTTCCAGATAAAAAGTCTGAGAAGAAAATTTCTAAAAACCCCTCATTCTGTCAAATATCCGCAGGATGCAAAATACTAGAATCGACCCTATTTGCAACATGATCTAGGTACCTAGAAATTAGCTATGTGGTCCAAGAATCTGATCCTAAAATACAAGAACAAAACGCTAAATAAACACAACCTCTCTACCCCCACAAATGTCGTTGAGGAACAAAGCTGCCCTGAGCTGTCTGGAAAGGCGCACGGAGAAGGTTTGCTTCTGAGTCTCCAGTAAGGCGTCATGCGGCCTCTGAGAGGCCAGCTTCCTTCCCCAGCCTTCAGACCTGAGGTCGGGAATGCGGGCCGTGGCCTGGAGGCACCAGGGAGGTGACCCACCGGCGGTAGCAGCCAGAACAAGGGAGCCTGGTCAGCAGGCTGCCTGGTACAAGGCCGACCACCCACACAGGGATGGACAACATCGCCAGGCCTTACCCCATGTGGCCACCCTGAGGACCCCCAGCCACAGCAGCCAGGACCACCCCGTGAGCCCGCAGGCACCTGTTGAGGGACACATACTAGGTGACGGTCGTTCCAAGGGCTCCGGCCCCCTGGCCTGGGGCACCCCCACCAGGTGTCAGTAGCCTGGGGCTGGCCGCTGAAGTCACCCAGCACCAGCCCCCGCATCTGGTCAGCTGGGACCCTGCACCACAGCCAGAGCTGTGCCAAGGTCTGGGCAACCTCCCAGGTTCTCCACTCAGGGCACGTGACCCATTTTCTGTTTGAGTTATGACCTCAAGCCCTAAAATCCCTCCTCCTGTAGACATGGAGAGAAACCCCTGACCAGCCAGTCCTTCCCGTCCAGAGATGGATGGAAGGGTGGATGGACAGCAGGAGGCCCAGCCACTCTCCCCACAGCCTGGGTCCTGCCCTCTTTCCTGCTCCCCACAGGCACTGGAGGAAGGGTGGGGAAGACAAGGCTTCTCAGGGGTCCTTCCCGGGATCCCACACCCAGCTGGGCCCCTGCCCCCTCTTACCGGGCCTGCTGCTGGTCGGCCTCCACTCGACTGGCCTGGAACAAGAGAAGAGCCCCATAGTCACCAGGAGACACACCTCGGACAGCAGGTCATCGGGCTGGGGGGCCCATGGGTGGGTGGGATGGAGGGGCCCAGGGAGGGGGCTGCTGACCTGGGTGTCCCGGGCCTGGCTGGCCTCCAGCAGGGATTCGATGGAGCGGATCCTCTCCGTGAGCTGTGAGTTTTGCGCCCGGGCCTCATCCAGCTGCCCGTGGAGACCACGCAGCTCCTCACACTTGCCCCTCACCTCGGCCTCGGAGGACTGCAGCTTGCTGTGCAGCTCTGCAGAAGGGGCAGCCGGCGGGTCAGGGGTGGGGGGTTGCCAATTGGATGTTCCCGGCTGCCCAGCACACACCTGTGGGCTCGAGACACACGCCCCACCCAGGGCCGCCTGCCAGCTGGTGGAGAGTCACCGTCAGGCTTCTGCACACCAGGGGACAACAAAGCGCCCCCACCGCTTGGCAACGATGGGATTTGAACAGGCGTCTGCTACAGAGTCTAAACCCTGCTCCTGGGAGACCAGCTCATGTCCCTGAGACCAGGGCGGGGCTCCTGGCGTGTCCTCTCCCCTCGGCGACCTCCACAACATCCCACCACGGCTCTGAACGCTGGCCACATTCATCTGACACTGCACAGCCCCTGGCCCTGGGCTTGCCCCACACGCATGGGGCTCTGCTGAGGGCTTCCTCCTCCTCCCCACCCCTCACTCGTCTCTGAGGCCTGGGGATCCACGGCCACTGCTCGCCCAGTCCCCCGGGCATCTCTGTGGCTGCCTGGTCCAGCCCTGGTCCCCGGGCCGTCTGCCCCTTGGTCCTTTCCTGGGCCAGAGTCGGAGCATCTGGAAGGGCAAGTGGGGTCAGTCCCGCCACCCCCACACACGCTCCCAGCCCTCATCACTCCACGGGACGGTCACCCACGCCTGCCTGTCTGCCCCCACACTGGCCACTGCTGCTATCTCCAGCCTTGCGCACCGACCTCCTCAGCCTGTTTCTTGTACAGTAAAAGTCCAAGTCTGTCCCCATTCCTCAGGGGCTCCGTGCTGGTCACTTCCGCCCTTTCCTGGTATTTGTGAGGCAGGCCTCTTCCGGTCATCCAGACCTGTCTCCCCAGAAGCCTCCCCTGACCACCTGAAGCCACACCGGGCCCATCACAGCAGGGGGCAGCAGACTAGAACCCTGAGCCATCTCAGCCCAAAGCCTGTTTTTGTCAAGAGCTTTCCTGGCCCACGGCCAAGCCTGTCTGTCCTGGGCTGTGTGGGCACTGTGGCAGCAGAGCTAAGCAGCCGTGACAAACACCATCTGGCCTACAAAGCCGAGACGCAGCTGGCCGCTTCCAGGACCTGCTCCAGGTCACAGCGGCTACTTGGAAGTCTGGTGAGCACAAGGCTGTGCGACCTGGTCAATGGGCCGCCTGCCCTGCCTCTCCAGAGGCCTTTGGTGCCTTGGGCATCACCCCACCTCCTGAGGGGGCAGGTGCCCTGAGAGCACGGGGGACCACGGCCCATTTCCAGACCTGGCCCCAGGCCTTACTGAGCTGGAGGAAGGGGAAGGCCAGCAGCAGCCCTTGTGGCAGCGTCTTCCACCCGAGCCCACCTCCCATATCCAGCCCCCGCCGTCGGCCAGTCCTCCAGACCCCAGGCCTGACCCCAAGCACCCCCATGTGTCCCCCGACAGGTGCAGGAGTCCGGGGTCCCAGGTACTCTTGCCACGCGGGGCCGGCCCTCCACCGCCCTCACCGGTCATCTGCTGCTGCTGCTCCCGGGCCTTCTCGGCGTCCGCCCGGAGGCTGGCGTGGCTGCTCTGTGTGCGGCTCAGCTCCCGGCTGACCTCGTCCAGGCGCTTCTGCAGGGCCTCCTCGCTCTCCTTGTGAGACGCCTGGGGACCAGCCGAGGGAAGGGAGCCGTGAGGGTGTGGGCAGGAGGCTGGACTCTCTCGGCTCTGCCGTCCAGAGCTCTTCACTCCCTGCCGCCCCGCACCGACGAAGCAGAAAAGCTGCCTGGAATGTCTGGGTCAGTTCACCCCCTAGACAAGGCCAGGGGGCCATCCTGACCCCTGAAGAGTGGGCGCCCAGGGAAGACGCTGCAGGTGAGATCAACAGTCGCCCCATTTTCACTGTGAGACCTGGGAATGGTCACAGCTGCTGAGCGTTTCTAGGCAAGGCGCCTGCTGAACGTTTCTGGGCAAGGCGCTGTCAAGGCGCCCATGGTCAGCATGGTGAGCCCTGGCCACCCCAAGACACAGGTACCACCATCACACCCACATTCCAGGTGGAAAAACCGGGGCCTGGGTCAACACCGTGGGGACTCTGTATGACCGAGGATGGCACGACTGAGTGGGAGGAGATGCGCGGAGCCTGGGGCTTCCTGACAAGAATGACAGTGACAACTTGGTATCGGAGTGGTGGCTCCAGCCCTTGAAGCATCGGGACCACCCGAGGGCTTTCAGAGCACAAGCACCAGGCCCTCTCCAGGGGTCCTAGCCCCATCTCACTGCTCAGGCCAGACCCACTTTACACCAAATTATCCACCTCAATTCCACCCAAACAATCCCCGTTTATCTGTGCCTGTCCTAGGTCCCCTGCACACACAGCAGTCTCAAGAAACTTCTAGTCCTTTCCATGACACAGTCCAACGTGCTACAGCCAAGCTTCAGTGACTGAGCAGAAACAGGAGCCAAGCCATGTGGGACTCCCCGAGAAGTCACACACATTCAAGGCGACAACTGCCCTGAGACAGGCCGGCTGGGGGACGTGGGGCTCGTTCGGCCAACGGGGAGCTTCCCGGTGCCCTGTGGGGGTTCCTCCCTCTGGGGAACGGGTGTCCCCCTGGGTAACTATGAGCTTCCAGGCCACACTCAGGGCTGAGAAGGAAGAAGCCCCACCAGGTGCTGAAGCTGGAGGCTGTGCAGGGACCCGTGATGACACAGGGTGGGTGACTGCCTGGGGGCTCGTGTCCTGGCTCCGAGTGAACCGGGGGGACTTGCTTAACTCTGTGCCTCCCGTTCCCTTCTGGGGAAATGGCACATAATGCCACTATCTACCCCATGCGGTTACAAGGAGAATTAGCTGGGAATTAATGCTTTGAGTGTTCAGAACAAATGCCGAGCATATAGATGGCACCCACTTGATGCTGACCAGGCATCACCAGTAACGAGACCAAGGCTGAGGGTTCCAGTCCCAGCCCTGCCTGGGTCTCCAGTGGCCACAGTCACAGCTGAGGACAGACGACCCTGGGTGGCCAGATGGGCCAGGCGGGGAGGCTTAGTGGGCAGGATGCACGGGCACGAGGGGGCCACCGCCCCTTACCTGCAGCTGCAGGACCTGTTTCTCCACAGCGGCCGCCTTGGCCTCCAGGGCCTTGCGCTGCTGTTCCTCCTGCCGTGCGGCCTCCGACTTCTCCACCAGCTCCTTGCTGACCTTGCCCAGTTCCTGCCGGAGCTTGGCCAGCTCTGCGTTCTGCCTGCAAGACAGTCACCAGCCCCCGGAATGACGGACAGGAGAGGGCTGAGTCAGCTCCCATGAACCCTGAGAACTGCCTGGGGCGATGGGGACAGGTGGCCCAGAGCCCATCCTCCGGGGCCCCGGCTCTTTCTTAAGTCATTGCCCGAGTCTTGGACCCCACCCAACTGAAGCCCTTCTGTATCATTAGCCACATGGGGTGTGATGTGTTTTGTTGAAAATGGTATTTCACGAGCAGCGTGGGTGGCTCAGTGAGAGTAAAGAGCAACACGGGCCTGAAAGCAGCCCACGGAGCCGACAGCAGTGGCTGATCTGGGCCCAGACGAGCCCTGGGAGACAGGTGGACGGGCCTTGCCACCCTGAGGGCGGGGCCGCTGGCGGGCTCGAGTCCACAGACAGGACTCACTGGCCAGCGAGACCACGACCAGGCCGGGAGGCCACACAAAGCGGAAGGTGGTGGCATTTTACAGAAGAGACCCCTCAGTGCCACACAGACGCTGGGTCTCGGGACCAGGCAGGAAGTCCAGGGGGGCAGGATAGCTGAGGGGGCAGGTCCAGCCCCACCTTTCCCAGCACGAGGAGGTCGTCAGGCTGCCACCTCCTTCCCTGGCACAAGAGACACCTCTTCACAGCAGGACTGACTGTCCGGCTGAGCGACAGTACCAGACCAGGTGAAGTGGATAGACAAAACTGTCCCCCAGCCCTGGGAGGCAAAACCTGGCCAAGACCAGCTCTGCTCTGCTGCCCAGGGGGCGCAGACACGGCCCCCAGCCCCTGGGGCTGGGGTGGGAGGCCAGCTGGCGGGCCCTGGGGACCAAGTGCAGCTTGGGGCACATGCAGGGCTTACTTGCTCTCCACCTGGCTCGTGGCCTGGTTCAAGGCGTCCCTCAGGATAGAGTTCTCCTGCTGCAAGCGGGCCAGCTGTGCACTGGGGCCGTTCTCCAGCTGCTCCTGCAGTGTCCGGATCTAAAAAGGCATCCAAGGGGCATCAGAGCCTCGCAAGGACAGCCACTTTGGGGGCGAGGTCAGAAAGCTCCCAGCTCGCAGACAAAAGCCCCGAGCAGAGCGCTCAGCTCAAAGCCCCAGGGGTGCTGGTTCGCTCAGCTGCTGACCAAGGTCCTGAGACATAGCACAGAGCCCACAGCCACCCGGAGGATGCCTGTTTCCTGCTCTCTGACCCCCTTGGCACAGCCCCTGCCGCCCCGGGGAGGGTAGAGGAGACAGTGCAAGGCTCCGAGTCCTCAGGCTAGAGCTAGCCAGGCCCTCCGCTGGGACCGTGCGGATTTCAGGCCCCTTGTTTTGCTGGGTCCTCCCAACCTCCTGAGGAGTAGGCAAAGCCAGCAGGACTCCAGGGTGATGGAGAGGTTGCAAACTTGACCCACAGGCCCCCAGAGTAAGGGATAGTCATGTCCCAACGTGACCACTTGGAACCGGAGTGTTTTCAGAAAGTGCTCTTTAAATGCACGCACATCTCCCTGGTTATTGACATTAAACACACACACACCAGCCAACCAGACGGAACAGCCCCTTGCCGCCCCCCCCAAATCCCGCAACAAGTTGGGCCATGAGGACCCGCCCCGCAGCTGTGCCCACCTTGCCCTGCAACTGCTGCACCTCCTTCACATGCTCCCGGTAGCTGGCCTGCATGCGCGCCTGCACGGCTGTGATCTCCTGCTCCCGGGCCACCAGCTGTTTCTTCACTTTGGCCTCCCCGGCAGCTGCCTTGGCCTTTTCCGCTGCCAGCTCCTGGAGAAAGCAGAGGGCAGGGAGACAGGAGTTCATCAGAGGAAACCAAGAGCATCAGGTGAAACCACCCAGAACATTTGATAAGCACCCCCCCCACCCCGCTCTGGCTGTCTGTCCGTCCATCCCCCACCAAACACACCTTCCCCCCTGGCTTGGAGCCAAGACCCTAACTCAGGACAGAAACTCAGACTCCTCGTGAATGAAAGGATCCAGGGCTCAGGGCCAGGGGTGTCCTGAGGTCCCAGCCGCCTCCCTGCACCTGCTGCCCCGCAGAGGAGCTGGGCATGGAGACGAGGCGACAGCGACACACAGCGCTTTGCTGGGAAAGCACGGCTGTCACAAGACAAGGTGTGTCGCCAGCCCCTGGGGACCCAGGCTTCCTCCCCAGGAGAGAAGAGGGCAAAAAAACCCCAGCTGAGCTGTGACGGGAGTGGCCATGCACCAACCGCCCCTGGGCAAGACCCCCCCCCGTGTCGGGGTGGCCCGGACCCCCAAGCCCGGAGTTCACAGGCACAGCCCAGGCTCCTGGAGTCCAGGATCTTCACCGGCCCCAGACCCTGGCCCCACCTTGTTGAGCTCCCGCAGCTTGCTTTTGGCGACGGCCGCGTCCTCCTGCTCCGTGGCCAGCAGCTTCTCCTTCTCTTCCAGCTGGCGTTTCAGAATCACCACGGGGTCGCCTTTCTGAGTGGCCTGAAGAGGCCCATAGAGCCACATTTAACAAGAGGTGGGCAGACGTGGGGTTTGAGCCCCAGTCCAGCCCTCAAACCCCGACCCACGAGCAGAGCCCTGGCTGGATGGTGCAGGAGTGGTTCCTTGCTGACTACACACACATGCGGGGGTGGGGGGGGGGCCCTCCACCTCAGCTGCCCGGCCAGTCAGGCCTCAGGCCCCCAGGTGCAGAAGCTGCTTGAACCCAAAGCTCTGGACCCCGGGGGCAGTTGTGGGGAGCATGGTGTTTCCCTAACCCAGGTTGATGGTGGTCAGGGCCTCTCCCTGGCCTGCTGGGGGCCATTGGCCATCGTTCCCGGCTCAGTGCCCAGCCCTGAGCGGCTGTGTGGGGCCTGCTGAAGTGTGGAGGCTGGGCTGGGGGTTGGGGGAGGGTGTATTCTGGGTGTACTGGCTTGAGGCCAGGTCTCTCTTGTGGAGGGGTGTGGTCAGCATGATCTCCAGCCACTCAAGCCCAGGAGACGGACAGAAGCTTACTGAGCAAAGAGCTCCTGTGACCCCAGGGCCCATCCCCCCTCAGCGGGGGCCAGGGCTAAAAGAACCCAGTGGCCTCGGGACAGGGGCCACCAGGCTGGCTCTCATGACACTCCCCAGACATCTCTCAATTCTGAAGCACTACAAAATCCTCTAGCAAAATTACCTATGATGCAGGCTCTGTGTAAGGAACAAACGTGCCCCACAGCACTTCCTGGGGGCAGCTTGTGGCCCCTGTACCAGAAGGGGAAAATCCAGACAGGCAAGCACCTTCCCTCCTGCCCCCAAGCCCTGGCCACAAACCGGCGGGCCAGCTCCTGCGCCCGCCTTGATGCCCCTCCTATAGTGGCGGCTGGACTGACTCACCCAGCATCCCAGGAAGGAGCAGCAAGGAGGCAGGTAGAGGGGTTTCAAGGACTTTTTGTGCAGCTGGGCCTGTCCCAGGCAGGCTGGGGACCTGGGACCAGGTGGGGTGTGGGGGTGGCCCCTGGCCAACTGCCCGCAGCCGCAGTGGCACCAAACGTGGGGGGGGGCCCACCTTGTGCCACGTGTCCTGCACGATGCCCGCCTTGTCAGCCAGGATCTCCATGAGCCGCTGGGCCTCTCCCTCGCTGAGCACCATGCTTCCGACAGCGGAGACCAGCGTCTTGTAGGGCAGGTGCAGGGTGCCATTGGCATCTGGGGGCCCTGTGCATGGAGGGGAGGGCGGGCGTCACACACAGGTACAACAGCCAAACCCAGCATACCCCGGAGCAGGAGCTGGTTGGGGCCTGCCCACAGACAGCACAGAGAAGGTCCCCAGCAGAGAAACACTGAGTGTCCCTGGGCTGGAGGAGATAACCCCTGACCTTTTCACCATCAGAGCAGATGTGGGCAAGGCACACTCTCCCCAGCTAACGGCCTGGTCCAGCTCTGGCTCGCACAACCCGGAGAGACTCACATCCCTGCCAAGACCCAGCCCCATGGCCCTCGGGTCCAGATTGACCAGTGAGTTCATCAGCCCGATGGCTGCAGCCCCACACTGGGGAGGGGGAGGCCATCTCCCACATGTCCCGGTCCAGACCCTCTATTTGCAACTCCCTGGATGAAGAGTAAGGCAGGTTCCAGGAGAGATGGCTGGGCCAGCCTCATCCAGGCCTGGCCACTTGCTGGGCTGGGAGCACCTGACCTGCTAGAGGACACAGTGCCAGGTGTCAACAGCCAGCTGTCACCCCTGGACACCCCCAACATCCCCACAAGAGCTCCGCTCTCTCGCAGGCCCTTATGCAGCCCCAAAGCAACAGGGGGTGAACAGGGATGCCCCTGTTTTCACGCCGCGGCCCCAACCGGCCCTCGGCGGAAAATAGGGCCCCAAACGAGCCAAAACAAAGCAGAGAGACTGCCCACAGCGGCACCTGCCACCAAGCCCACCTCGCCAAGGATGAGCGAGGGGAGGTTTCCATGGCAACATGAAATTCTCTGTCACAATATTTTCATCACACGTGAAAACACTTGGCGGGATGCCCTTGTAAAGGGGACGAGGGGGTGGGGATGTGTGGTTGCTATGAGCACCTTCACTCAGAACTTCTCGACCCTCAAAGCTTGGGAATGAAAAATAACCAGGCTAAGGTTCAGGCCTAGAGCTCAAGGTGTCATGAAAACTGGGGGTGGAAGGTGGGGGGGAGGGGTAGCACCCTTCAGTCTTCAGTTCTCACTGAAATATATATATTAAATAATTTTAATGGAGAAACTTCTGCACCCAAGGGGCTTCCGTTGTGGCTCAGCTGGTAAAGACTCCGCCTGCAATGTGGAGACCTGGGTTTGATCCCTGGGTTGGGAAGATCCCCTGGAGAAGGGAAAGGCTACCCACCCCAGTATTCTGCCTGGAGAATATAGTCCATGGACAATATAGTCCATGGGGTGGCAAAGAGTCGGATACGACTGAGCGCCCCTCACTCACTCTGCACCCAAGAGACAGCTCAAGGACAGCTAAGCCCAGAGAGAAGGAACCAGTCGGACAAAGATCCCACAGTCAGCGCTTTGGTCTCTGGGCTTCCTCTCTTCTAGTCAGCCAGAAGCCCAATGTTCCTGCCTGGGTTCTCCAGAAGAGGGCGCCCGCTGGGTCAGACCTGCCAGGATGGACTGGCTGAGACCCACCACTCACACCTCCTTCCTGCTTCTCAGACTTAGGCAGGCAGGCCTGCCCCCACGCTGCCCATATGCAACCACCAGCCTCGCGGGCCGCCAGGCACCTGCCAGGGAGGCTGGTGGTGGGAACAGGAGTGGCTCCCAGAGGGGCACACACCAGATTCTGAAAACCTGGTATGAAAAGAAAGAATGTCAAGGATCTGCAATAATTTTTCATACTAATTGCAAGCTGAAGTGATACAGCATTTGGGGTAAACTGGGTTACATGAAACACATCATTAAAGCGAATTCCATTTGTCTTTCGTTTGCCTTTCTTAACATGGCTCACAATGTGTTTCTACTGGACAGACTGGCTACTCTGTTCCAGCCCTTGGGGCCCCCGAGCACTGCCTGACCCAGAGTGCCTGTCCTCCCAGGCCCGGGAGTGGTCTGGGGAAGGGGACTCAGCAGCTGGACAATGCAGCTATGCACCCATAGGGAACACCCCTCCCTTCACAGTGTCACCCCAGGGGTCGCACACGTGCGTCTCTTCTGGAAGGCCTGCTGCAAAGACCATTCCTCAGACTATGCTGGGAGAGTGTCGTCCTAATACACGTCTGTTAAAACCATCTCACGTAATTACACTGAATTGTATTAGACTTCCTAATCAAAGTAATACAAAACTTGTAAAGCTATGAGTAATGAAGTTTACTTCCCCATACCCACCCTGACAGAAAATTTCACGGCCTTCTCCACCCCTATATAAATTAAATTATTTTCAGAGACGTCACATTATATTTCTCCATTAAGGTTAAGGACGGTACCATTTCTAGTTTCCCCAAATCAGGGGAAGTAAAACTGAAAGAAAAGAACCGAGAAGCAGGAACCAGAACTCTGAGCCCTATGTGAGTGGCATTTATTTCTGGGTTTTAAGGTCTTCTGGCCAAACCCCCAGCCCTAAACTCAACCCCATAGAGGCCAGGGACAGGGTATGGGGGGGCGGGCAGTGGGTAGCATGCTGACCCACACATGAGGCTAACATTCCTCCAGCAAACGCTCCAAGGCTAGAAAGAATCCTTGGGGCTGGGAAATCTTAAGGCCCTGAGATAAATCTCTCGAAGACTCAACATCTGTTCTGTGAAGCCACAGGCCTCACCAAGACAATGTGGCCATGAACTCCCCAAAGACAGGAGCAGCCAAGGCTTTGCGCACAATGGTGCGTCTGAAATTCCAGGTGTGGACGGGCCGGGAGGAAGCCAGTGGCAGGAGGGCAGGGTTGCCAGGCAGGGCCAGTGTCTCATGGAGTCAGTTCACGGCTGAAGCTATCCGATACGGGCCAGTTCCAGTCTGCAGGTCTGCAGGCAGTGGATACCCTATCAGAACAAGGGCCCTGGAGCCAGGTGCCCTGGGCTTGAATTCTGGCTCAACTCTTTGCCAGCTGGGCATCCTAGGGCAAGTGGCTTCACCTCTCTGTGCTGATTTCCTCATCTGTGAGGTGGGGTGACAATCACCCCTCCCCCAAACATGGCAGGTCAAATGGCAACACGCTGGGCACAGGGCAAGCACTGCAGGGCCAGGCGCACCCCAGACCCGGCCCCTCCTTGGGCAGACGGCACTTCAGCAAGGAACTTGTTGGTAGGGGATCCCCTTCCTCTGCCCCCCCACGATCGCCACAGACAAGTCATGCCAAGCCAGCGCCAGGCACCCTCCGGGGGATAGAGTGCCATGGCCTGTGCCTCTTTGGCCCCTGCCTTGCACACAAGGTCACAGGGGCAGCGCATTTAGAAAAGTGAGGAGACTATGTCTCCTCGGGCTCTCAGCCCCGAAGTACACAACGTTCGGATAACATGCGCAAGCTTCAAATTCCAGAACTGCACCCCCGTCTATGACTACACTTGGAGGCTTAATCACCCAACATCACGCCAGTCCTGCAAAGAGGGCGTAGGAGTCTCCCTCTCAGTGTCAGCTGGGGGGGGTCCCTCGGGGAGGAGCCCGTGAATGGTCTCAGCCAGTGGGTGCTGGGTGGGCTCTCCACGCTGCTTCGGTCCCTGGAAGCCCTGCACTGCTCGTGCCCGGCTTAGCCTGTGACAGGGTGACGTCGGAGCTGCTCCAGGAACCGTGCTCGCGACAGACAGCTGGGATCCAGCCGGGGTTGTCGCCAGGCCCCGGGACAGGAATCAGGAGGCTCCAGCTCCACGCCAGCCGCTGCTGCAGGTTCCCCAAACCCTGCCTAGGTGGTCTCCCGACACCAAGTGTGCACTGACTATGTACCCTGCAGTCTGCAAAATGCAAGTGGGAGGGACTCCCAGGCAGAAGGAAGGAGGTCCCAGACACGGAATCAACAGAGCCCCAAGGACCCCCAGGAAGCAGCCATGGCAGCAATGCTGGGAGGGCTTTTATCGCAGGAGATGCTCGTGCCAAACGCTCTGGGCAGAGAGCAGCAAGGGCTGGGAGAGCAGCCTCTTCCCTCCAGGAAGAGAGGGAGCAGCAAAGACAGGCACCAAGGCTGGCAGAGCAGAGGCAGGCAGGGCTACAGTGGGTCCCAGGTGTCACGGGCCCGGGGGATCCGGGTGTCACCTCGTGGGCAAGGGGGCATCACCTGGGAGTGAGCCGGGTCTGCACCTGAGGACACTGGGTGACCAGGTCAGCAGGGACGAATCCAGGCCAGGGGCTGAGCATGCTTGGGAAACTGGGCGGCGACAAAGACGCGGTGTCAACCCTGGGGCTCTGAGGGCGGGAGACAGGTTGCAGTCTTGGGTGGGGGGAGGACATCCAGACCAGTCCCCAAGGCCTCTGCACAGCTGCCACCCCAACCGTGTGGGTGGGGGGCCATGCATGGTCCTCTGGACAGGAAGCCCTCCAGGACATTCCCCAGTCACCTGAGCATACCCAGGCCACAGGCCCAGGACCCCAGGAAGGGCCCCCTGCCCTCCCAGAAGCCAGCACTTCTCAAACAATCGTCAGACTCAGAGATAAGACAAGCTCCTGACTCTTGCTGACCCCAAGCACAGAGGGGGGCCCCCAAATCAAGAGTGGCCAGCAGGCCACCCGTCTCCAGAAACAGGAACCTGAGCCAGCACCACCACGGCCCCCACCACCCAGGAGCGCGGACAGTGGCCGTAAAGCATTCTCCTGAGCCTTTGGGAAAGGGGATCCCCCCCCAGGCCCTCAGTGGAAGAGCCCCCAGAGGCGGCAGAGGCGCAGCTGCAGCTCCGGCCACCCTCAGGGCTCCAGGTTGCGACTAGAGCAGTGGAGGGCCCCGGGCAGCACAGAGATGGTCGATGGCAAGCCTGTCTCAGGCCGGAGCCCAGCACCGCCCAGGCCGTCTGCCCCTCGAGAGGGTGAGGGCCCTGAACGGCAGTGTGCTGGCCCGGGCACCTGGCATCTCGAGGGCACCGGAGCAAAGCACCAGTGATGTTGACAGCAATCCTACCGGGGCCTGAATCAGGCCTTTTCATCTGGTTGGAGACAAAAGTCATCTGTTGATAGACTGGGAGTTTGTCCATATAATGATGCCTCATGGAATTTTTTTAAAAAATACTACAAATTGAATGACTTTATTTTTCTCTTTATATACTTTTGCTCTCCCCACCCCAACTTTAATAAAATCCATTTTAAATCTAAAAAAAAACAAAAAACAAAAACACATCACAGTATTTCTTAAAGAAATACAACCCTGGAGGACCTGTGGGCGAGATCATTCCTCAGGCCTGAGATAGCCATGAGATCTGACCGATGGCCGGCAGAAAGGACAGGGGACGGACAGACTTGGGCCTGTCCTGGCAGCGATGGGAGACCCGGTGCTGCCACGTGTGAGAGGGCTGACCAGAAGTGACCAGAAAGTTCTGGAAGAACGTCTTCCAGCAGCTTCTCTAAGACACGACAGTGCTGCACTGATGCGAGACTCGCTTCCCTGAGAGATGTTTTATTCTTTTAAAAAAGAAGAAAAGGAAAAGCTGGGTTTGAAGAACTTACACAGAAAGTGAATTAAATAAAGGCTTATGAGCCTAGTAGTTTTCTTCAGAGCTTCCGACCCTGAGAAACTGAGTTTAGTTTGAAAGAGAGAATCAAGTGTGGTCTTACCAGCCCCGCTGTCTCCTGGGGAGAGGGGCGTGCCCAGATGGCGACCCAGGCCCAGGGTGCCACCCCTCACCCCTTCTGGGAAATCTCAAAACAGAGCTGAACTCTAGTTTCTGCTGTCAGAGAATGGCAGAGATACAAGCCCACCTTAGAGAACACTGGGGGATAAACGCAGAGAAGGACGCCTGCCCTCACCCCGGGCTGGGGAGCAGCAGGACACTGGGGTGCAGTTCCGTCCAGTCACACAGCCTGAGACGAGGTCCTGCAGACTACACACCCCCGGAGCGATGCTCTCCTGGCCATGCTGGGTCACAGAACAGGACTCCACTCCTGCGCTTCCCGGGGTCTGGCAGCAGGAGGAGGCCTCTCCCAACACAGAGTGACGGCCGCAGGATGCAGAAACCTTCCTCTCTCACCCGACCTCAGTGCCCACCATCAGCTGGGTGCCCAGAGGCAGGGACACACTGAGAAGGACTGGCCACCTTCCTTCCTTATCCCGTGCCCCCAAAGAAGCAGGAGGCCTCTCGCTGCACAGAGGCCACTCGGGGTCCTGGGGTCAGGGCTGGGCTGCCTCCTGGCGCCCAAAGGGGTGCGAGCTCCACTGTGGTTCAGTGAGGGCCTGTTTCCTCAACTCACAGACAAATGTGGAGTTTTTCTCTTCCACTAACAAGAATACATGTTATAGAAAAACCAGGAAGTGCAGAAGGGTGAAGGGAAGAAAATAAAAGTCACCCACAGACCTCCCCCCAAAGACAGCCTTTCTCCCACGTAGACCTGTGCACGTCTGACTCGGCTGTCGTGGGGCCTGAGGGCACCTCCATGTCCCAGAGGCTGGTGGGGCCCAGCTGGGATGGTCTCTGGCCCAGGGTTTAGGCCCAAGTCTGCAGGACGGATGGCATCTGGCATAAAGCCAGGGCACAGAGTCTAAGAGGAGGGCCCCCCCAGTCGCCCTCCTGCCCCCCTCCCCACCTCAGTGACACCACAAACCAAGCTCCCCGGCAGCATAAGTCCCAGGGCTCGGGCCCAACTTGGAAGGTGCCTCCCGTCCAGCCCAAGCCTCCGTGTCCGGTTCAGGGCGCCTGGCCTGGGCCATGTTCACGAGGACTCAAGTCCGGGAGCTGGAGAGATGGCCCTGTCAAGAGGGCCCCAAACCACCCCTGCAGCCACACGCTTCCTGGGCAAGAAGCTGCTTTCTTGACCAAGGCAGACGCTGGCTGTGGTGACTCTCAAGACAGCCAACCAGGGGAAGCCTGGATGGTGCCGCCAACGCTCGGGAGCTTCAATTCCAGAGATTTCCACTTCGCAAGGATTCTGTGAATTCCCTCTTCTCCAGACACTGGGAAGAGAACCCAAGCTTCTGTTTCATAACCAAGTGTTTTTCTAGTCCACACCTGGGTTCCTAAAGGCCTCCAATGTCACCGCCATCTCCACACAGTCACGTGAGATGCTCACGTGGGTTCATCACCGAGGGGACCGTGCGCCATGCCAGGCCTTTGGCGGGCAAGGTGGATAGGGCTGTCTCCCTAAGTTAAAAACGCACCTGCCTCTGACAAAGCAGCCACACATCTAGGACCTGACGCCATGGAGACCCTCACCCAGTGGGACACGGACATCACTGCAGAAGTTAATTTCAGCAGCAACAGAAGGGCTCACCGCTTCAGAGCATTTAAATATATTGTTATGCTCAGGCCATGGACGAAGACACAGTCTACTCAGGACCATCCTCCTTCCTGACCTGCTGGCCTCGGGCCAGCACCCTGCTGTCATTACAACAGTTTGGGAAAGTGTTCACATATCAGACAGAACTGGCCTTCCAACAGTCACTTAAAAATCTATTCAGTATTCTTACTTATTTTTCCCTCAAGAGGCAACTTTCAAGCCCACTGAAATTTTGGCAGGAAGAATAATAAACTACTAAGTTAACCAGGGAGTGACAATCATTCTATCATGTATAATCTTTCTTGTCCTGAACTGTGGTATTTTTTCCTGTTCAAATTTCCTCTTATCCTACACCTTAGGTGAGCGGCTTTGTGGGTTCACACAGGTCAGAAGTTAGGTCTTCCGCCCAACAACGCTTTTTGTTACATGCCAATTTTGCCTTCCTTTCTAGAGTGAAGTTTTTGTTGCATACCTTATTTCAAATGTCTAAGGCCTTACAGGGTCATGACGATCCCAGGAAGCTCCGATGCAGGAGAAGCCAGAGAACAGACCAGCTCTCACCTGCACCCCTGCTGTCTGCCTCCAGGGCCTTTAGCCCCAGGTCAGATAGAGCATTGCCTTGAAGACAGGGAGTTATGCTCCCTCCACCCATGGGGCCAGGGCCGAGGCTGAGTATCTGGGTTTTTAAAGGGCCCGAGAGGTTGTTGTGACCCGCAGGGCAAACGTAGACTGGTCCCTGAACCTCACACAGAGCATAGTGTGGTCTGAGAGAATGTCCCCCCAGCAGAAAAGCGGATATAGCTTCAGAAAAAGACAAGAGAGGGGAGCCAGCTACAAACAGAGGGCCTGCCTACTTTGAGAGGTCCCAACATTTCAGGCCCCTAAGATGCTTCACCAAGACAAATGCAATTAATCTTCCGAGTCGACTAATGGCTAATCTAAGAAAGAAAGAAATCTAGCAAGAGAAAAAAAGAGAAAGGGATGGAGGGAGAAAGGAAACATTGGACTATTCTATCAAGTGAGGGGTGGACATGAAACAAGAACTCACAGGTCGAGTTTCTACAGTGATCTTCGCTGAAAAGATAATGGGAAATCCATGTTCTATGCATTATCTAACAACATGTGTATCTGATACAGAATATCTATTTTAGTGTTCTATAATGCTCCCTTCCACAACTGGGGTGGGAGGCAGCAAAGAAGGAAACCTGGGAGGCAGGGGGTGTGGACACCACTGCTTCTTAGGAATAGCATCCTGCTGTTATTCACTCAGTAAACATCGAGAAAACAACAAAGCTATGCTAAAGCACCAGGGGAGGCAAGAATGCAGAATAGGTTGACAGAACGTGGCCAGACTTCAAGAGAGACTGCAAGACACAGAACTGTTCTCGACTGTGTGGTGGAGGGAGTCGTCACTTCTTCTGAACCTTTCCCCACTGGACTTCCTCTTGTTGACTCACACTCAGTCTCACAACTTGCTCTGGGCATGAGGACCCTGGTTTGAGAAGTGACTTTTAACAGCTCTGCTGCAACCATGAGAAGGTCCTCTGCCCTCGAGAGTCACTGATGCTTTGGCCTGGGCCCCAGAATGAACACGTGGAAGTTGACCCAAGAGTCAACCTGTGGCAGGAGCCAAACTAGTTAGAGGTAACACAGACCAGTCAACCTCCACCCAAATCAACAGCAACATGAGCAAGAATGAATGATTGACGCTGCAGGACCCTCAGTTCTAGGATGTTTGTTATGCAGCCTTGTTGTGGCGATAGCTGACTGATACAGATGGCTTCCCCAAAGGGAATCTACAAGCCACTTAGAGACAGCTTGTCTCTCCACATTCATAAAGAAACCAAAGCTACTTACCAGGCTCACCCTTCTTCTTTGACCCAGACTTCTTCTTTGCAGGAGCCTCTTGCTTTGGTGCTTCCTGGCTCTGGACCGTGTCTGCATTTTTGCTCTGGGTAGGAGTTGACTCTGCCTTTTTACCCTGATTGGCAGATGCATCCACCTTCTTGCCCTGGTTGGGGGACCCTTCTGACTTTTTGCCTTGGTTTGAGGTTCCCTCTGCCTTTTTCCCTTGATTGGGGGTCCCATCTGCTTTTCTCCCCTGGTTTGCAACACCTTCCACCTTTGTGCCCTGATTAGCAACTGAATCTGCCTTTTTGCCCTGATTCTGGCCTGCCTCCGCTTTTCTGCCCTGGTTGGGGGTCCCCTCTGCCTTCTTGCCCTGATTCTGGGCCCCCTCTACCTTCCTGCCCTGATTCTGGGCCCCCTCTGCCTTCCTGCCCTGATTGGGGGTCCCGTCTGCTTTTTTATTCTGGTTTTGAACCACTTCTACCATTTTGCCCTGGTCCAGGGTACTCTGCTCTTTTCTGCCCTGATTCTGGTTCCCCTCTGCCTTTTTGCCCTGGTTCTGGGCCCCCTCTGATTTCTTCCCTTGGTTCTGGGCCCCCTCTGATTTCTTCCCTTGGTTCTGGGCCCCCTCTGCCTTCTTTCCCTGGTTCTGGGCTCCCTCTGATTTCTTCCCTTGGTTCTGGGCCCCCTCTGCCTTCTTTCCCTGGTTCTGGGGCCCCTCTGATTTCTTCCCTTGGTTCTGGGCCCCCTCTGATTTCTTGCCTTGGTTCTGGGCCCCCTCTGCCTTCTTGCCCTGGTTCTGGGCTCCCTCTGATTTCTTCCCTTGGTTCTGGGCCCCCTCTGCCTTCTTTCCCTGGTTCTGGGGCCCCTCTGATTTCTTCCCTTGGTTCTGGGCCCCCTCTGATTTCTTCCCTTGGTTCTGGGCCCCCTCTGCCTTCTTGCCCTGGCTGGGGGTTCCCTCTGCCTTCTTGCCCTGGTTTTGGGCCCCTTCTGCCTTCTTTCCCTGGTTCTGGGCCCCCTCTGCTTTCTTCCCCTGGTTCTGGGCCCCTTCTACCTTCTTGCCCTGGTTCTGGGTCCCCTCTGCCTTCTTGCCCTGGTTGGGGGTCCCCTCTGCCTTCTTCCCCTGGTTCTGGGCCCCCTCTGCTTTCTTCCCCTGGTTCTGGGCCCCTTCTACCTTCTTGCCCTGGTTCTGGGTCCCCTCTGCCTTCTTGCCCTGGTTGGGGGTCCCCTCTGCCTTCTTGCCTTGGTTCTGGGCCCCCTCTGATTTCTTGCCTTGGTTCTGGGCCCCCTCTGATTTCTTGCCCTGGTTCTGGGCCCCCTCTGCCTTCTTGCCTTGGTTCTGGGCCCCCTCTGCCTTCTTTCCTTGGTTCTGGGCCCCCTCTGATTTCTTGCCCTGGTTCTGGGCCCCCTCTGATTTCTTGCCTTGGTTCTGGGCCCCCTCTGCCTTCTTGCCCTGGTTCTGGGCCCCCTCTGATTTCTTGCCTTGGTTCTGGGCCCCCTCTGATTTCTTGCCTTGGTTCTGGGCCCCCTCTGCCTTCTTTCCTTGGTTCTGGGTCCCCTCTGATTTCTTGCCTTGGTTCTGGGTCCCCTCTGATTTCTTGCCTTGGTTCTGGGTCCCCTCTGATTTCTTGCCTTGGTTCTGGGCCCCCTCTGATTTCTTGCCTTGGTTCTGGGCCCCCTCTGCCTTCTTGCCTTGGTTCTGGGCCCCCTCTGATTTCTTGCCCTGTGCAGAGCTGGCAGCAGGGGCATTGCCTTTGGCACCCACTGGGGACACCACCACCATAGGCACCTCCTTGGGAGCAGCTTCCAAGATGGCAGCCTTTGAGGCAAGAACCTGGATGGAATTCACTACAGAGCTGACTGCTGGTTCCACCTTTGCCACTTTTTTCTCCTTCTTCTTTTTGTCCTTCGGGGAAGAAGCCAGCTTCTCTTGGGGCATGGCTGGTACCGTGGCTACCGGGGCAGTGACCACCGGGGACTGGACTGGGGTTGGAGCCACTGCAGGTGCCCACACTGGGTCCCTGGGAAGGATGGTCACGCCAGGGCTGGGCTCATGGTCAGGTATCTTCCCGTTGGGCTTCTCCTCCTTTTTCTTGGTCTTTCCTTTCTTCTCCACTGTCTTCTCCTTCTTCTTCTTCTCCACTTTCTGGTGGTTGGTCTTCGCCATTTCCTTGCGCTGGTTGGCCAGAGCTTCTTCATATGACGTCTCCTTCATGGAGAAGGTTGACACCAGGAAGATGCCGATGGCGGAAACAACCATGAATCCACCAAAGACCACAACCCCCAAGGTCTGAGTGTCGTAAATATCCATCCTGGCTGGTTTTCCTTTCACCTGCCAAATACATACACGGCAATTACTTTCTGTAGAAACCGAGGCATTTGACAGTCACCGTCCCCACTTGCAACACCTAACATATATGGTTCCACTAATCCTTCAGACTGATAAAATCAAAGAAGAAACAAACCAGGCAATCTCTGCTGTCACCTATTCTCCCTGCCCCCTCAGAAGTGAGCAACTTTTACACAAGCTGGGACACATGAAGCCACGGAGAGATGGCAGCAGGCAGCTCCGTGACAAGGGCACATGGCGCCCAGACAACTCAGAAGCCATGACCCCAGGTCGAGATGTTCCCCACCACAAGGTCAAAGATGCACGTGAACATAAGCATGGGCCAGTGTGAGACAGCTGGGAATGGTAAGGACTGTGTCAAAGTGCCAACTACATCAGGAGCAGGAGTCACCCAGTCACAGGTGACAACTGTAGAAACGTGAGCACTAGGTTGAGGGATCTTTTGCTTTTTCATATCAGGACAGATTTCCACCACCACCCCCCACCCCAATTCAAGTTGACTGATATTAAGAATACCGTGTATGTCAAATCAAACACAGCTGCTGGCTCGCACTCACAGTGTCCCGGCCAGTGGGTCTCACGAGCACTCTTTCTCTGCTGCCCCCTCTTCCCCACGTCTGATAAACACAAGTACCCGCCCAGGGGCAGAGATGAGAACCTACGCATTACAATCCCAAAGGTGATCAACATGTAGTGAGGAAAAGTGGAGCCTGTGAATCCACGCATTAGGAAACAGGAAATATCAGTCCTGGGAGGCTGACCAAGTAAGACCGCAGGTCTGAATTCCACATGCAGAGGCTGCAAAGAGGGAGGGGGACAGCGTCACCAGGTCCACTCCTCACCCTGGGGAGAGGACCCTTTGTCTGATGACACACTCCCAACCACGAGGATGATCCACCCTTCTCGCTGGCCGGGGACCGAAGTCCACAGGGTTGGAGGTGGCCAGGTCCACGCCCAACAGCTGTCAGCCGGGCTACCCCTGACTTCAGTGAGGAACTCCCAAGGGTCCATTTCTTGGATACACTCAATGTTTACCAACTAATTTTGCTGCGGCTATCATAGTTCCAGTCCCCTGACCTGGGGAGTGAGAACAGAGCCCAGCTCCCCCAGGAGGACCAGCCGCGGAGTAGCTATGGGAACGCATGTGTGAGAGGCTGGGGGAGGGCAGGGGGAAAGGAGGAGAGCTAAGTGGTCCCCAAAGCCCCTGGAGCTGGGATAGGCCAGGCCCAGGCTTCTCAGTGGCTTAAAAGTTGAGATTTCTCTTCCTGCATGAGTGGGGGCTTTTAAACAGCCATGGAATCCAAATTTTGACATTAGGGGGTTTGAGAGGAGGGACTGAACTCAGCATCCTACTCTAAGGAAAATCAGTCTCGTCGCAGGAAAAACACGACTTTGCTGTCTTTCTACGAAACCCCTGCAGAAGGAGGGTGGACTGTGCCCTGCTCTCCAGGGCAGCACCTTCCTCGGGGGCAGCTGGACACTTACTTCTCCCAGACTGTTGCTGGGGGCTGCAGCTCTGGGTCAAACTCCACATCCTGGTCCGCAAGCCCGAGGGAGCTCATGGAGCCTCCAGGTCTTGGGGCAGCGAGTTCTGACCCCTGGTCGTGGGTCCCACACACACAGAGGTCAGGAGCCTTCGGGACCACACTCGCAGCTGAGTGCAAAAAGCCTGGAGGGAGGGGTCCAGGAGGCCGGAGGGCGGGGACAAGAAGCTGGAACGTTCCACCATCCCCTTCTAACCCCTGCTGCTTGGTGGGTGTCCACAACTGAAACGCTGGGTCCTCACAAGGACCCCTCAGCACTCTGCCGACACGGACACGTTTCAGGTACAAGGTGACAGCATAATCATGACATCCATCCTATTCAGGTGACAAAAATCCTCTGACCTACTGTGCAGCACAGGGAACTCTACTCAATATCCAGGAAAAGAACCTGAGAAAGAGTGGATACAAAAACCCTCTGCAACGCCCTTCTCCAGAGGCAGCACCAGGCCAGGGGCCTGGGTCACCCAGCTGCAGGTCTGCAAGCCCCGGGTCCCCAATGTGCCTTGGAGGGCAGGTCCCATGGAGGCCCTGGGCCACCAGCCCCCAGGACAGGCATTGCCCTGCCCCATCTCAGCTCCTCCCCCCCCCCCCCCCCACCCACCGACTTCATCCCCTTTCGAGCACCATGGACTCTGCAGCTGAGTGGTTTGGGCAGAAAACCCACAGATGAAAAGCTGGTCTTGGCTCTCAAATTAGGCAAACACAGGATACAAGATATTCTCTGTCGGGGGAAGAGTGGAGAGAAGCCAGCTATGAGAGCATTTCCCTCTGCACGTGCAGACAGACCTCTGAGGCCATCACTTCCGATCCCTCCAAATACACTCAAGGTCAGTCTTCAAGGTGAGCCTGCCAGGTGCTCCACACGCAGTCAAAGGACCCTGGCAGGAACCTCCCACATGGTTTTCCACAGGACTGTACTGTGTGCTGCTGCATCCTGAGTGGGCTGACCACAGAGAATCTGTGCTGTCGATCCCAGAAACTTCTACGAAATGTACACATTTATTTACAACAGCCGATCTGCTTAGAGTGTGAAGCAGGCCAGCCAGCACAGGGAGCAGACGGCCGCCCCGAGGCTCAGGGACTGCTCCCAGGCTCCGTGGCTGAAACCCCAGGCCCACCCTGGAGGTGCAGAGGGCATGGCTTTCTTCTGCTCCTGGGAGTAAGGACTGCGGAACAGAGGTTGTGTGGACACCCCAAGCATGGACTACTGTTGCTGATTCACTCGGCCTGACCAGGCTAGTGCAGCTTGGCCAGGTCAGTCCAAACTGGCAACAGGGATTCGGGTTGGTTTTGCAAAAGGCCTCTCAACAGCACTCCTGGGGCTGGGTCATGTCACCTCCCAGCTGTGCTGTGGGGGACCATGTGTGGGCACTCCGAGAAGCTACAGCCGGGGATGGGGAGGTGGGTGTCAAAGAGACCCAGCCCCATTTCCTGGGTGTAAGGTGACTTACCAGGAAGGCACAAAACTAAAAGAGAATGACAACAGAATAGAGACGTTAGCAGATATGACTGCATCATCAAGTACTTCAAATATACAGAAGATGAAGAAAAATATTCTGAAGGTCCATTTATCCACCACCCAGGTTTAGCAAATCCAAACATTTCCCCCATTTACTTTAGATAAATGTTCAGTGTCTCATCTTTCCTTCCACAGAGGACCAACACCCAATGTGCCACCATGCTCACCCACGGGTGCCACCGGACAAGCCCAGGACCACCCTGGCAAGGGTTGCACAAGACTCCTTCTGAAGGGCTGCCTTTTTCTTTGATTTATATATTTATGTGTCCTTTACATAGCTTGGATATTAACCATTTGTTGTTTTCAACGTATCTAAGTCTGTGGAGCTGACTCCTTGGGAAATACCCTGATACTAGGAAAGACTGAGGGCAAGAAGAGAAGGCGGTGACAGAGGATGAGAGGGTTGGATGGCATAACTGACTCAATGGACATGAGTTTGAGCAAACTCCAGGATATGGTGAAGGACAGGTAAGACTGGTGTGCTGCAGTCCATGGGGTTGTGCAAAGAGTTGGACACAACTTAGAAACTGAACAAGTCTCTGGTTTCATTTTCAACCATCTTGTTTGTTTTTACAGTGTTTTCTTGTATCACAGCTATTCTCCCAGAGTCTGGGGCTGCCCAGGTGGCACTAGTAGTAAAGAACCCACCTGCCAATGCAGGAGATGTGACAGACTCAGGTTCGATTCCTGGGTCGGGAAGATCCCCTGGAGGAGGGCATGGCAACCCACTCCAGTATTCTTGCCTGGAGAATCCCATGGACAGGGGGGCCTGGTGGGCTGCAGTCCCTGGGGTCGCAAAGAGTTGGACATGACTGAAGCAACTTAGCACGCACACCACAGAGTCAAAGATAATCTGTTTTCTTTTTCTTTTAAGGAAAAAACTTTTGCTCTCCTCTCAGTCTAAATAATCACTAAATAATCACTCAGTCATGTAAAGAGGCAATGCACTTCTAGGGGTCAAAACTTGAAAGGCACAAAACGGCTGATATAGAGTGAAAACCTCCCTTATACCCCTGCCTCAGCCACCCAGGTCCCAGCCGCTGGGAGAGAAGTCCTTTACTGTTTATTTTCTTCTACACACTTCAGAAAGCTTTTTGTAGTTTGGTTTAATCACCTGGGATTTACTCTGGCATATGACAGGAAACAGTGTCAGCTTCTCTCACAGCTTGCATTACCTGGCACCCCTTCTGAGCTGGTCCACTCTCCTCCCCGACTTGCACAGTAGCCTCTGTGCCACCAGGTTTGATGGACTTACACTCTGTCCCACCTGCATCTGTGCCCGGCATCAATACCACGTTTAGGCCCACGCATTCACTCCAAACCCCAATGCTACTGGGATTTTTGAAACAGACTAAATTTACAGATGAAGGTGGGGACAGCTGACTGTATACCATGGGAACTGTCACTGCAGTGTGGAGCACTCCACTTATTTAAATGTCCTTTTATATTACGTTTCCAAAGAGCTTTTATGATCTCTATAGAAAAGTCTTTTTTGTTGTTGTTAAGGTTATTGCTATTTTTAAGTATACAAGAAAAAGATACCTTTTTCTATTTCTAGCTACAGGCATCCAGCAAAGATTCATATTTGCACGTGTGTTGTTTACCCAGATATTACACTAAACTTTCCTCAGATACAGGAGTTTGTGGATTCTCTTCAAGAAAAAAAAAAAAATCACCTATGGAAAAAGACAGCCGTTTCCTGCTTTCTAAGCCATATCATCGTGTCCCTGAGCTGGGCAAGAACTCTGAGCAGGCTTGCTGGTCTCGTCGCTGAGCTTCCACTTTTGATGTGTCACTATTAGAAGCTGTGTTGGTAGAAAACTTTTTATGAGTATCAGGTAAGCTGTCTTATATTCCTAGTTACCTCTCCTTTCTAATAACTGGGCATTAAGTTTGAG